TTCAAACTCCACCTCAGAGTTTTACAAAGAATGATTTCTTCTCCAATTTCTCCCAAAATCGAAGGAACCCTCAGATTTTGACAACAACCCTCTTCTCCTCTTCTCCAATGAACCCTAAACCCAATTTCCCCTTTCTTACAAACTGAGAAACCCTTATTCGAACAGCTTAAAGGTTAAAACGAAGTGGGGCCCACTGTTCGTAACGGACCGTCAAGAAATTTGACGGATTGGGTAAATTGAGACGGTTATTTATACGTTGGGGGGTACTTTGAGACGATTTCCACCACAGGTGGTAATCTGAGAAAAACGTAAAAGCACAGGGGGCATGTACATAATTAAGCCTATATATATATATATATATAAGTAAGACCACTGCACCAAACTTGTACCGGGGAAACAATCCATCAGGGGATTGTTTGGCTAGACCACGAGACGACATCGCATCATCTTGTGACTAGGGTTGAGCTATCCAACCGAGGGACTGATGCTCAGTACGTAGCACACACGCGGCATCACATTGCACGTGCGGCCAATCTCAAGTTCTACGCTCGCAGACTACCCCACAAGGGCCTTCGGTAACACCCCGTAAAGGGTGCCCGGGGAAAACGATCCAATCAGGGGATTGTTTGGCTAGACCACGGGATGACATCGCATCATCCCATGACTAGGGTTGAGTCGTCCATGTTGAACCCGGATATTACCTATTAGGCATAATATCTGATTGACTATCATACGATATCCAATTTCAAATTCGAGCGTAGACGTGGGGATAATTTAGAATGAAGTTGGGGTGCCACAAATGGGCCCACGCGCTGCCACACGAGTTGGCAGTGCATTGCGTATCTTGAGCGATTCTTCGGCGATCGGAAACTTCCAAAACACCGGGCATAATTTAGATCAAAACGACGAGCATGAAGAGTGGAGTAACTTACCCAACTGGATCGACAGCCAATTTGGCCGGAAAGCACCTCAAATCACCGGAAAACCAATCGGAAAAACCTAGAAATTTCTATGTTTCGATCTGTGAAATCATGGTGTAATCTGGCCAAATCTTTGAGGGATTATGCCAAAGAGGGGTGGGGGAGTGTTTTGGAGAAGATTGGAGGGTGGCCGTGGCCGGTGGTGTCTGGAAAACAACCTGGTTTTTCACTGGTTCGAAGACTGTTTTTGGGACGTGTGTTTCGTTCAAATTTCTGCAAAAATCACAAGGATTCGAGGTTAGTTAAGCTTGAAGGGCTGTAGAGGAGAGGGAGAGCAAGAGATTGGGTGGTGGGTTGCGATTTTGCCCTTTAAATAATATTAATTATTAAATTTCAATAATTATTATTAATTAATTCATATTAGTTTATTTAATTTACTTATTTTAACTTATTTATTATGTTTTAAATTTAATTCTTTCATTTTAGGGTCGGGATGTTACAAATTTAGGAAATAAGTAGTTGGTTTCATCAAACCATTTGACACTCCATTGACGGATGATTGTTTTCGTGTAGTGTGAATAAAATGGAATGAATGGGATTTTGTAAAATGGAATTGTAAACAAGGGTAGAATGAAGGAGGTAGCCAAAGTGTTTTTGTTTATTTCTTTCTGTGTAATCAAACACCTACTCAACTCAACTACATGTTTGAATAATTTTCAGCAATAGCAGTGGAATATACAAACAAATTTGAGCACATCTTGATTTTCAAATTCAACGTCATTTCATTAAATTACTATATCAAAAATAAGGTTTACCAAAGAGATTAGCCAAGTATCTTCCTAATAGATTATTAACCTGCAAAGCGAATTAAATAAAACTTGATCATTTCCAGTTTCCAAATGCAAATCACGAGAAGAAACACCATCATTTTTTTTTGGGGTAAAACAGTAGCCTGTCTAAAACTGAAAAATATCAACGAGAAATTTATACAAACTGTGAAAGTCGTAAGCTTTTGTTACCAATGCCTAAGGGTCTGAGCTCTGGAAAAAATATATATATATTTAAAGGACCCGACCCGCCTAGGCGCAGCCTAACTTCCTGCCACCTCCCCTTAACAATTAGGGTTAAATTGCGGCAGTTCCTCCCGCCTAGGCTGATTTTTCGAACTTTGCTACCAGTTTACTTTCTTGGGATTTTCTGCCTAATCAAATGCTGCGTTTATAACAGAAAGCGAACGTGCCACGAGGAGCTCGGTATCATCACTGAAGTCGGAGACTGAGGCGTCGTTCATTTGGTCCAGAACCAGAACCCTTTCTTCCTCCCTCATTACGCTTCTCGAACGTTGAAGCCGGACGGTGAAAAAATTAAAAACAAAACTGGCCCTCACCCAACAGGCCTATATTTGCAATTGGGCTATAACAAAAATTGAATTGGGTCCGTTGGTTTTGGGCTGCATAGAGTTTGAATTTAAGCCCACTTTTTAGGGAAATTAAAATATTACAAAGCGCAAAACATAAGTGAGACTCTCGTTAATGGAGAAAAACTTAGTTGCAATGGGAATAACACTGTTTTGTTAAGTGAGACTCTCCTTCATAAAGTATGTTGTTTGCATCTCGACCAAAGTCATTGATGCTGAAGGAAAGTGGATGAACAAAGGGTAGGAAAAAATTGAAGAACATGAAGAGAACAACAGAGCAGTTTATCAAGGATTGAAGACGGAAAGTTGATAGCCTGCTTAGAGACATCGCAATACAACCAACAACAAGAACGTGAAAATCTGCAATGCAAGGAATAATGGTAATGTACGTGGCAACTATAATGAAGAAGTCAGAATTATGAAGAGTCTAATGAAGACCAAGGATTGCCATATTTTAAAGGGAAAGAAGCCCAAGACTTTGACGTTGAAAACAAAAGCACACAGAAATTGAAGTATTTGGCATTTCTCTCCACCTAAAAACTTCACAGGCAAGCTCGGATGGTGTTAGCGCTGGCAGAAGGTCTGGGATTAGTTTGTCCATTTTAAGATATCTAGTCTAAGGAAAAAAACTCATACAGATGACAAATACATACAAAATAATTGAGATATTAAAAAAATCTTCAAAGTAACAGCCCCACAGGTCCACCTAAAAACTATTCTAGAAAATAAGTTGTTGGCTTCATCAAACCATTTGACACTTCATTGACGGATGAATGTTTTCGTGTAGTGTGAACTTATTAAATTGTAATGAATAAAAGCTAAAGAGAAAATAAGTTGTTGGCTTCATCAAACCATTTGACGCTTCATCAAACCATTTGACACTTCATTGACGGGCAGCCATATTCCATACGCTGTCTTTAATGTGCGACGTTACTAACAATGTGACGTTAAGGCAAGCATAAACCTTTACTTACAAAGCCAATGAACCTGACGTTAAGGTCCATATTAGGTGTTCTCGACACGCTGTAAGATGAAATTGACATGGAAAACAAAAGTCCATCAAAGCCTCTGCCTTTTTGGGTAATGACCCAATGTCAAATAATTTTGTTGCACAACAATTGGTCAAAGAATATTATTGCATAGAAATTTGTTGATCTAATCTTAGATCTGAAATATTGACGCGAACATGGTCTAAAAGCCAGCGTTGGGAGGACTTCAAGCCTTTGGGTGGGCATCCCCATCACAGAGCATTCATTTTGTTTTTTTAACGTCGGCATTGACGGCAAAACTTTATGATTATGTTGCATGCCTAAGTTGTACACATGACTGAATCTTGTTGGACCGTAGTACCAATCAACAACGCCAGCTGGTACTACGGTAGTATTGTATAATTTCTCCTAAAAAAGGGGCCATTTGGGGGAGTTAGAAATTTCCAAGTTGTATTTCTAGAAACCACTCATTAATTATTCATTCAGACTCTTAAAAGTATATATCATATAACCCTTTTCCTCGTCATTGTCTTTTGTTTTCCTTTCTTCCCCCAAACAATAACCTTTGGACTTTGTTGATGCTCAAAATGGTTAGGCCAAGATTGAGTCCAACTTAGTGATGAAGTGTGATGGATGATGAATGAAGGTGAGGACCTTGAGCATGTGTGTAAAGACTTGGGCAAGCGATAAATGTAAAGAAGACAAGATATACGTGGTTCACCCTTAATGAATGGGCTACGTCCACGGAGAAGTATGTTCTCATTATAATAGTGTATGATTACATTTGTACATGGGGTTGGACCCGAATATAAAGATGACAAGTGAGATGCCCAGGCTAGGAATCTAGAAGAGAGTCCCCGGCCGTAGGGTCTAGCTCTGAGACCCGGATCCTCTTCTAAGTGGAGAGAGGAAGTCCCCTTTTCACATGGATACTATTCTCTCTTTATAGGGAGGTGAAAGTGGGAGGTTGGTGTAGATTTCCGATGTGGGACTTTGTGCAAGTCGCTGTGGTGGTGACACGTGTCATGGGAATTAGGTTTAGCAGTTTGTGAGCTTTGGCAGTTGGGAGTTTCGGCAGGTGCTTGTCACTTCGGAAGAGTGTCTTCCTTCGGCAGGAGAGAAGGCGTGTCTGCCTTGGTGCTAGTTGTTTTGAGACTGGATATGCTCGGTTGATTATGGTGTAAACAGTAGTCCCCCAAGTTCGCGGTCAAGAAGTGACTTCTGGGTTGGGAACTTGTAAGCTTTTGTGTGATCATGACCGAGCATTCCAGGTTCAGTGGGAGCTGTAGGGCAGTCCCTAGTCCCCCAAGTTGTCAAGCTAGAAGTTGCGTTAACACTTAGAATTTATGATAAAAGCTGTGTTAGCCTCGGTGATTGTTGGTAGCTGGGTACCTTTAAAAGAAAAGTAGACTTGGAGTTTGGAAGCTTCAGTAAGAAAATCTGTAGGCCTTAGTGTTTATGACCTGGGTCCTGCCGTTTGGTAACCAAGTGATAGTTTTGGGCAGCAAAGGCCTGGGTCCCAAAAGATTGGGCTGAAGCTTGAAGGAGAAAAGAATATGGGCTTCCATTTTTCCATTTTCCTAGCCCCCTTGCCATTTTTTGTGAATGGCCAAGTGGTATGGGCTGTGGGGAAATTAATGAGCCCCGTACATATGGTGTCCTGGGCCAATCAGTATGCAAGAGCTGGGCCCTGGATTGGCTTTGGCAAGGCCTCATGGGTCTGGGCCCGATGAGTTTTGGCAAGGGTGTTTAAAGGAGGAAAAAGAAAAATATGGCATGGGGCCCGGTTCTATTCCAGCAGACATTAGTGTGGCTGGGGTGTTAGAGCTAGGGCTGGGCCGTAAGTTTAGCTTAAAAATGGCTGGGGCTTCGGCAAGTCTTTCTTGACCAAGTAAGTTGCTAGGGTACTGAGGGGAGTATAAAAACAATCCCACAATGCTTGCCGTTCGGCAAGGTGAAATCAAAAAGGGACCAGGTACTTGGCATGAGCTGGGTCTTCGGCAGGGTTTAGTTGAGCCATAGCTGGGCCTGAGGTTTGGCTAGGAAGCTGCGTAAGTGGCTGAGTCACAAAGCTAGGCCATTGGGGCTGAGTCCTTGTGTTGTTGTAGCTAGGACTTTTACTCCTTCGGTAAGGAGTCCAAGGATTGGATATAAAGGCTAGGGTTTTGAGAAAGAGGGGTGTGTCTCAGTTTTTGTTTTTACGGAACCTGCCGTCCGGCAAGTCCCATTTGAACTTTTGCACAAACTAGATTCGGCAAGGCTGGGTTAATAGAAGCTGGGTATATAAATAAGTTTGACTATCTCTTGCCGTTCGGCAAGAGATAGCTGGGATATTTGTAGGGCACAAAAGAAGAAGAGGGGGCTAGGCAAGAGAGGGCTAGGACTTTCGAGTTCCTTGGCCACAGGGACCAGCGGGTTCAGCGTGAAGGTGGAGCTGGGCTTCGAGACAGCTGCTAGGAGGAAGGATTCCGGGCGGCGGGTGCCGTTCGGCAAGGGACCCAAGGAGGGCTGATCTGTCTTCGGCAAGGAGCGGGCTAAGTGCATGGTTTTCGAGACGATCCGGAGCTGGGTCCGTAGTGTCGTCATCTCGTGAGCTGGGTCCTTGTCGGATTCGCTGGAGCTTGAGCATAGGTGAGTGGAACCGAGGACGGGTGGCCCTTGTTTTGAATCCGTATGGACCTTGCCGTTCGGCAAGGGCAGTGAAATTTTTTTGGTGGACATCTGACGTTTGTTTATTCGGCAGGTTGGTGAGGCTGTGATATTGATAATATTCGTGGAGCCGGACCATTGGAGTTTTGGAAGTGCACGGGTTTGGCCTTTGAGTGGGGCTGGGCTCTTGGAGCGGGTGTCTTGATCAAATCATAACTCCTCCGTTTTGTGCTAGTTCCAAGTCTTGAGCAGGGTCGGAGAATTGGAGCTTGGTGAAGCTGGGTTCGCAGGTGCTGAGGAGGTGAGTCCAAAGATTGGAGAAGAGGTGCAAGTCCCCAATCTTTTGGAAGAAAATATCGGTGCAGCCAGTCCTTGGTGAGAAGTAGCTGGGTACTTTGTGAAGGTAAGCAACTGTGAAGCCTCCTTCTTTTCTTTTGTATGGCCCTTGCCGTTCGGCAAGGGCATGATTCTCTGTGGGCTAGGTCCCTAGGGCTAGATCATGGATTGGGAGCTCAGAATTTCATCAAAGAGTCTAGGCTCGGGAGGCTGGGTGCCCTGATCAGTTTGTTTTTGTTTTTGTTTTCGGCCTGGCTGTGCAGGTTCGATAAGAGTGGTGGCTTGAGTAAAACTTGGTTCTGTAGGAAGAGGGAGGGCCTGCGCTTCCCTGGTTCGAGCATGAGCTGGTTGTTCGGCAAGGGCGAAATTTTTGCAATCGAACCATTTTGGTTGACGTTGGGCAGATTCCTTTGAATAGCCCGTCAGCTTGGTAGGTGAGGTGAGTCTCCGTGCCTTCGGTAGATAGGCCCCGTGAGCTGGAGGCCGAGATAATCTTCGTGGAGATACAAGAATGTGTTGTTTGCGGAGCTAGGTCCTTTTTGTCCTTCAATATTTCGTGAGACAAAAACTGAACGGTGCTGGGACTCTTGGCAACGACTCGGTTGGAAGGTGGGGTTTTGGCTATTACGACCCTTGGGCATGAGTCATTGTGAAGGGACCGTGAGGCCTTGCTTGGGAGCCAGGTCTTGGTGTCGTGACCTGGGGGTGCCTTGCTAGGAATTTGTACTTTGTGAAGCCATATATATATATATATTTTATTTGGCAGAGTGTTGTAGTAGAGGCTTGGGTGCTGGGCTTCTGGATTGGACTTGGACTTCACAATTTAGCCACTTGGTGTGGGCTTGGAAGTGTTTGAACTGAAGCTGGGCTTTGGTAGATGGAGCATTGGGGCTGGGCATTGGGCCTTGAAGGCAGCCAGAGAGACTTGGGCTTCCAAGTAATAGTGTCAGACTAGGCTGTTGTAGCAGCTGTTGGTTGATTTATGCGGGAGTTGTGCGCACAGACTGTGAACTAGTCTCGGCACCACTAGTAACTAGAGCTTGGGCTTCTGTTAAGCCAGGGAGCCAGGCCTGCCACAATTTGGTCAAAGGCTTGAGTTGCGGCAAGTTTCTGGGGCTTGGGCTTTTGTCGAACTTTGGAGCCAGTCCAAACAATTTTCGTCAAGGCCTAGATGTGTCAGGGCTTGGAGCTGGGTCAGCGTAGCTTGGGCAAGGAGTAGAATTTGGTGAGTGTTGCAAGCCATGCAAAGTATAGCCACGCAAGCCATGCAAAGCCATGTAAGCCATGCAAAGTATAGCCACTTTTGTTGTTGTTGTTGTTATTGTTGTTGTTGGTACCCTAAGTACCTTGCGAATACTTAGGCCTTCGGCAAGCCTGTTGGTAGCCGGGCCTTCAAAGCTTTGGTAAGAAAGTCGTGAGTTTTTCGACCTAGCCTTGCGTTGTTGAATTGGGCCGGATCATTCAGAGCGTGGCATAGTTTCAGGGCTGGGCTGGTTTTGAAGAAGGTGAGCCATAAGATTTTGCCATTCGAAATGCTCACATTTTGCATGCAATTTGGGGCTGGGCTCCTGGAGCTGGGGCCATGAATGTAAGAGTGGCCATTCGGTATTCAAGCACTGGCAATCTTGGATTTCCGAGAGTATAGTATTATGTGTCCTGGGTCTTGGGCTTTTGTCAAGCCTTGGAGCCGGGCCTGGGGCGCAAACTCTTGTAAGGGGTTGGGCTATGTTGGCTGGGCACAAGCAGAATCCCTTGAGCTGGGCCTTCCCGTTGTGGCTAAATATTTTTAAAGTAGCTAGGCCATTGATAACTTTGCTGGGGCCGGGCCATTGAAGCTGGGTCATGAGGGCACCGTCGGCAAGCGTGGAGCTGCTGTAGCAGGTGGGCTCCTTTATTTCGGTAAGACTTTTTGCAAGTCCCCCTTAAATTGCTTTCCTGGGCCTTGCCAATGTGCTAAACTTGAACAGATGTGTTCCTTGGGTGCTTTGATTTTGAGCAGGGGCTGGAAAGAAAATTGAAGCTAGGCTTGCGATTTGGGTGTCTTGAGCAAATGGGTGTGCCATTCGGTGTTTTGAACAAAAACCAACCATGAGTTAGAAGACTTGGGAGCTTCTGGAGCTGCTCCTAGAGTTGCTGATCTGAAGCTTCTGGAGAAGGTGGGGTGTGGCTGCCATTCGGTGTCCTTGAGTGCCCTGAGAAATTTTCCAAGTGTCCTTGGGTGTTTTGATAAGTTTAGTGGCTGGGTGCTGTATGGCTCGGCCATCTAAATTGCTCCAGACTTTCAGCTAGTTGTCATGTGGGCTTCTCATTGGATTGAAATGGTGGTTGGCCTCCTTAACCTTGCAAAGTGATGTTGTCGGTGACTTGGAATATTTGGCACTTGACAAATTGGAGCATCTTCAAAGTGGCCCGGACAGCCTTGATTCATATGCAATATTCATGAACCATGTTGTTGAATAGGATTGTGCAATGAATTACTTAAATATTACATGCTCGTATGCAATATTTATATGTAAGAAGAGAAATCTTATCTTGCGGTGAGGATGTGTGTGGGCATTGCTCATATCAGAGAGGTTTGCCGAAGCTGTCGAAGGTGACACAATATGTGGCTAGGCACAGGAGTGCCGAAGGCATAAAGCTTGCACGTCGCAAGGCGATGTGGCTGGGCACGAAGGTGCTGAAGGCAACACAAAGTTTGCATGTCGCAAAGCGATGTGGCTAGGCATGAGGGGTGTCGAAGGCAACACAAAGCTCGCATGTTGCAAGGCAATGTAGCTGGGCACGAAGGTGCTGAAGGCAACACAAAGTTTGCATGTCGCAAAGCGATGTGGCTAGGCACGAGGGGTGCCGAAGGCAACACAAAGCTCGCATGTCGCAAGGCAATGTGGCTAAGCACGAGGGTGCTGAAGATAACACAGCTTGCGTGTCACAGAGCGATGTGGCTGGGCACGAAGGTTCTGAAGTCAACACAAAGTTTGCATGTCGCAAAGCGATGTGGCTAGGCACGAGGGGTGCCGAAGGCAACACAAAGCTCGCATGTCGCAAGGCAATGTGGCTAAGCACGAGGGTGCCGCAGGCAATACAAAGCTTGCATGTCGCAAGGCAATGTGGCCGGGCACGATGGTGCCGGAGGCAACACAAAGCTCGCATGTTGCAAGGCATTGTGGCTAGGCAGGTGGGTTTGAAGGCATGTTTCACGCCGGTTGATGGCTGGGTGCCGAATAATGGCGGGGTGCTGAAGGCATTGCTTGCGCCGATTGATGGCTAGGTGCCGAAGGCATAGCTCATGCCAAATGATGGCTGGGTGCCGAAGGCATCGCTCAAGCTATATGATGAAGATTGTATGGGTGCCGAAGGGCACTGAGGAAGGGGAGAACGACATAAGCCTTTTGTATCGATTCCCACAGACGGCGCCAAACTGTTGATGCTCAAAATGGTTAGGCCAAGATTGAGTCCAACTTAGTGATGAAGTGTGATGGATGATGAATGAAGGTGAGGACCTTGAGCATGTGTGTAAAGACTTGGGCAAGCGATAAATGTAAAGAAGACAAGATATACGTGGTTCACCCTTAATGAATGGGCTACGTCCACGGAGAAGTATGTTCTCATTATAATAGTGTATGATTACATTTGTACATGGGGTTGGACCCGAATATAAAGATGACAAGTGAGATGCCCAGGCTAGGAATCTAGAAGAGAGTCCCCGGCCGTAGGGTCTAGCTCTGAGACCCGGATCCTCTTCTAAGTGGAGAGAGGAAGTCCCCTTTTCACATGGATACTATTCTCTCTTTATAGGGAGGTGAAAGTGGGAGGTTGGTGTAGATTTCCGATGTGGGACTTTGTGCAAGTCGCTGTGGTGGTGACACGTGTCATGGGAATTAGGTTTAGCAGTTTGTGAGCTTTGGCAGTTGGGAGTTTCGGCAGGTGCTTGTCACTTCGGAAGAGTGTCTTCCTTCGGCAGGAGAGAAGGCGTGTCTGCCTTGGTGCTAGTTGTTTTGAGACTGGATATGCTCGGTTGATTATGGTGTAAACAGACTTGAACCAAAGCAAAATTGCAATATCAAGAAAACCTCAAATAATGAGAAAAATCTACATAAACTTCCATTGAACTTCCAGGTAGCTGCCGGTTCCCTCGTAGCAAAGTTAACTGGAATAGTTCTAAGTGGCTCTTTCTACTTTAACACATAGCAAAGAAAGCACCTACTAAGTACAAGCAAAAATACCTTTTCCTCCCCTTTCATGATCACACACAACCAATAAGGAAGCCCTATTAAAAAGACAAGGAACTTGATCATTTCAATTTTCCAAATGCAAATCACTTAAGCTAATTTCGAGAAGAAAGGCCATCTTTTTTTGTTTTTTGTTTTTGTCTAAAACTGAAAATATTAATGGCAATAATTCCTTTGAGATCGGGTACTAAGTTTCGATATGTTACTATATTAATGGATAGTCCTTGTGTTCTTTTATATGTTATTAGTCTGCACTTGATGATTTCTTTAATTAAGGTCGTAATTTACTACTACAAGAGGGTTTGGGGTAAATTTGCAATCTAGTCGAGTTATAGTTCAATGGGTGCTATGTTCACAGAATTTACTACTACAAGAGGGTTTGGGTTAAGAACTCGCATGTTAATGGCGACCTTGTTAAAACCTTCCCAAAGAAAACAAAACTCCGAGGTAGGAAAGAAGAGTCAAACAACTTATACGAAACAGACAAACCTAAAACCTAACCACAAAACCCTTAAAATAACATTCCATCACTACGTAGGTACTGTCAAAGAAGTCCTCATATGATCTAGAGAAAGCATCCTAATTATATGTACAGAGTCAAAAACGTACTATGGGTATCAGAATAGATCCAACCAATTACCCAATCGCAAAACCATTGAAACACATCCCATCACTACGCATGTACTGTCAAAGAAAGCCTCCTATGATCTAAAGAAAGCATCATAGTTCTTCATACAGAGTCAAAAACCCATTGTGAGCATAATAACATATCCAGCCAAACACCAACTGACACCTCCAATTTTCTTGATCCATAACCCTAGTTGACAAGCAAGGGAGACCAAGATTGGCCTCTTAGCCTGAAGAAATTTCCGAAGAAAGATCTTCATAGTAGGAACATTCATCAGTTGTCAAGCCCACGAATGTTCCATAAGAGAATGATTAGGGAGACCTTAGAGACCCCTTAAGGCTGGTCTCATCCGCCTTGTCAACAAAATCCTAGATACAAAAGCTACGCTTACCAGAAAAAGACATGTCACTAACAATCAGATGCCTAACACCAATTTCCACAGGCTTCTGATTCCCGTTTGGTGCCTCATACTTGTCATCCCTTTGAGCAGAAGAGATGGTGGTCACCTTCATAGCTTTAAGATGGAGACCCCTCACCAGTGACTGCCTCCTTGGGAACTCAGAAAGGAAGAAGGCGCAGCCACCCCACGGAGAACAAAAGAGCAAATAAATAAATAAATAAATGTCGTACCCAATACACCAAGAAGAATTCAGAGAGACAATCAGAGAAGACTGAGAGAGACGGCGCAGAGAATGAGTAAAGAAAACTAGAGAAACCCTAAAACTAGCCATCAAGGCTCTCTTCACGTGAACAAGAGAGCGACTGTGTGGTAAAATATATATTTGTGGAGGTGAAAAACGTGTTTCACATATTGAGTTTGTCTTTTTTTATACTAGTGATGATGATATGTGCTACGTTTTTATACTAGTGATGATGATATGGCCCCTAAGAATGTTGATGGTGAGGAAAAAGTCTAATGGCCTTCCAAACATGAAGAGCTTTTTTATACATTTATTGTATGATCATGTGAAGAAGGGTGACTTGCAAGCATCAACCTTTAAAAAGAAAGTTTGGTCCGAAGTAAGCGAGGAGCATCTAATGGTTTTTTTTTTCACTTCACTTCACATAGTTCAGTGAATTGTTTGTGATGTTTGAGTATAATAATTTTCATGGTTTGTAGAGTAAGCCAAGAGCGAAGCAATATCGCACTCAAGGTTTAGTGCACTATCAACTTTTAGGGGAGATATTCAACACCACTACTGCAACCGGTCAGTTGCGTTATGCCTCTAATCAACTTCTTCCTAACTCAAATAAAGACCGTGAGTTAGAGAACAACTTCCTTAACATCAGTATTCACATTGATGTTGACTTGGATGATGATGGTGTTAACCTGGAAATTGATCATGGTAAAGGAAAAAGAAAGTGTGTAACTGCTACCCTAATCGAACATCATCCAAAGAAATAAGATAAAATGGAATCTTATTTGGAGGTTTGCAGTGAAGTTATGAGTCAAAGATTACAAACAATTCAAAAGGAAAAGAGTCTTGAAGTATCTAGCAGCACCTCCAATGAGAGGTATTATATTGAAGAATGCATCGGACTTGTTGAAGAAATTGGGGATATTGATAATTACACATTTAACAAGATGCTAGAAAAAATTGTGCTTGTTGAATGGAGGAAAATATTTGTTACAATGTCGGATGCTAGAAGGAGAGCTTGGTTAGCTAGTCTTTAGGAATACTAGAGATTGTGGTTTTTCTTTAGTTGAGATTATGAATATCTTTTATATGTTATTTGAGTTTATGAATTTGTTTTATATGTTATAGATAGTCTTTGTGTTAGTTGAGATCATGGATGTACTACTTATGTGTTATTTGAATTTATGAATTTCGTTTATATGTTATTATATTGATGGATAGTCCTTGTGTTCTTTTATATGTTATTAGTATGCTTGTGGACTTCTATGTGTTTCCTCATGATCATTTCTTATAAAAATTTCAATTTTTTATATTTATAATAAAAGCGCATATGTGACAGGACCCGCCCCAAATTCCTCGGAACCCGAGACGAATCCTGTGGAATTCCCGACATTACCTCGATGTCAGGCCCACTTCTGAAACTATATCCTCTTTTCCCAAAAAGGAAATAAGGGCATGAGACTTTCTACCGAAATTTCGGCATAATCTCCCCTATAATTTGAACATTTCCCAAAATTTCAACCTGCATAAAACACATTTAATATCCCCAACCGGCAGCATGCACAAGATAATTTCATGCAATTCACATAATCGGCCTCCGGCCTTCAAATAATTCGAAATATAACCGCCAGCAACACTCTTAAGTCAAACATAGTACCTTAACCAATGTAAATAATAAGCTCAAACATAATTATTATTTACTACAAGGAACATACATAACAGTAGTCACAGTAACTAGTTCAAATATTATGATTACTTATTATTTACCAGTGTAACAAGGAACATAGAAATTGGTTAGAGATGTAAATTAACTCCAATTAGTAAGTAACATGTTGAATGCTCAGAAATCAACCTGTGATTATCAAAGTCTTTAACTTAATATATAGCCAGACTGCAACATGTGACAATAAAATTTCAACTTACTGGAGCAAGTTCTTCAATGAAAATTGCCCGGTTTCCATCCTTCTCGAAAAGTTCATATGCACATCGAGCATTTTGTTCCCAACAATCAAGTGCCTCTAGCTGATGAACGCTTAATGCAGCGGCACAGAACTCTTCAAAATCCATTCTTCTGTACACAGACTGCCACATCCCCCCACCTTCTCAATTAATTCATCTGTTTCCATTTTAGCCTTGTGAACGAGCTCCTCCAAATGCAAACTGAGGGTTACTTGGTGAGGAAGCCTGATCAAAAGCAAGTGACAAAATCTCTAGGCAGAGAATGTTCAGTAAAAAGGTCCACTTTGTCGAAGCAGCCTACAAAATAAATCAGTTATATATTCAATTAAAACTTAAAGATATCTAGAACAAAATATGCACATGAAAAATGTTGGTTAACTATATGGTTGTGAGTTTTGACCACTACAGTCAGTTGTCCTTTAGGGAACAAGCTTATCAAGGAATATTTACAATCTCTCACTGACCGTCCCTCAAAATTTTCAATCTGATCTTGTCTGTTTTATATGGTATGATAGATAGAGAAAAATTCTTCAATTTTGTTTTCCTATTTGTAAGAGCAACTCCACCCATTTGCCCTTAGCCATGGCAAGGGGGGGAGCTAGGGCAGCCACTATTCACGTGAATAGTGGTTGCCCTTGCAAAATCTGAATTTTGTGTTTCCACCCATTGCCCTTGCTAAGGGCAGTTACTATTCATTTTTTTGTTTTATTCACAACTTTTTTTACCTCAATAATTAATTTGGATAATATTTTCGGATAAGATTTTCGGGTTCCTACGTGTCAATACTATTCATATCTCATAATCGGATAAAATTTTCAATTTTAAATTTCAGATAAATTATAAAATAAAATAAAAAGGCTGGTATTTATAGAAAAAATTCATTAATTTTTGGGTATTTTTAAAAAAAATTTCCGAATTTTTTCCAGTATTTTATTGCAAAAAAATTGGCTGCCGTTGGATTGGAGGAAAAAATCAGATCGGAGAGCCCAGACGACGCCACGTGGCAACAGGAAAAAAATCAAATCAGCGAGGTACTGTAGCGACTGTAGCAGGGGTACTGTAGCGATACTGTAGCAGATACTGTAGCGCTACAGTAACCCCCTCGTTTTGGACCTCAGGCAGAAGTTGCCTTCGGGCCAGCCTGAGGAGGTGGGTCCCACACCCCCCCGGGCCTGGGCTGCTCTGCTGGAATGCCATTTTTTTTTCCCCCTAGTCTCGGGCTGGGCTGCACGGGTGGAAAGGCTCTAAGTTGTTTTGGAGGGAAACGTGAACTATTTAAGAAAGAGAAAATGAATTGAAGCAAAAACATACATTTATGATATATTTGCTTTCGTAGATTGGCTGAACAACATTTGTAATTACAAATATAAATTTACAGACCTGGATCAGGTGCTGATGTGCAGGCCGATTGATCTGCATGCCTTAGCGATCAATTGAGTTTTCAGAATTTTATACAAACCACAGCTCCTCGATTAGAACAAGAAAGACCATTACTAGGACGTCCCTAGTGTCACGGCCCGCATGTTCAAGGCCCAACCCGTTGGATTGATCATGCTAGACCTCTTAGCCCACATGTCCAGAGTCGTTGTATAGTAGTTGGTAGACTACAGTTGGTGACAATAGTTGGTAGACTACAGTTGGTGACAGTAGTTGGTAGACATTGGTAGGTGACATTGTATCTTAGCCACCTACTGTGGTGGTAGGTGGGATAGGGACAGTATATAAGGGGGATGACACATTGTGTATCCTCACCTCACAACTTGTAAAGCATTTGAGTAGCAATACAAGCATATATTCTCCCAAACTCTGTTAAGCATTCTTACTGTTCTTGCTCTTGCGATTGTTCTTTGCTTGGTTCGATCTTGTGTTGTAGGAAGGAGGCTGACTTAGCTTGTTCGAGAGGCGATCAAGTCTAAGGCCGCACGAAAGGAAGACTCCGAAAAAGTCATCCCGTGACAGTTGGTATCAGAGCGAAAGCTCGAATCATTCGAAGAAGCATGTCGAAGAGCGGATCCGATGTGGAGACTGATCTGTCCAAGGTCAATATGGATCGTGGGGGCAAATCAAAGAGGGAACGATCTAGAGATGTTGTTGCCATGATGGAGAAGCGGCTTTCTAAGATGGAGATTGCCGTGGTCGAGTTCGATCAGCGACTCGAGGAGGACGTCCTTACGAAGGGTGGCTTCGAAGCTGTGGTGGATGAGCTTCAAGGCCAATTCCAAGGAGCCCTCAACTCCGCACTGGACAGCATGCGGCTAGATGTCCAAACCAAGCTAGATCACTTCTTAGCGGAGCTTACTTCGCTTCGTGAGGAGGTGAAGGATGTGAAGGGAGATTGGGCTTTGTGCAAGGAAGCTGTCTTGAACAAGACCCGGACTCCGAAGGAACCCAAGGTGTTAGATTCTTTCAAACCCAAATCCTATAATGGGAAGAGGGAGGCGAAGGAGCTAGACACATTTCTGTGGAATATCGAAAGGTATTTCAAGTATCTGAAGCTCGAGGATGATGAGCCCAAGATCAACACGGCAACGTTGTTTCTCACCGACAATGCTCTCATGTGGTGGCGTCGTCGATCTATGGAGATCGAACAAGGTACGTTTACACTTGAGAATTGGGATGATTTTAAGAAGGATATTATGTTGCATTTCTATCCAGAGAATGCCAAGTATGAGGCAAAGGAGAAGCTAAGATGGTTGAAGCAAACTGGGAACGTGAAGGACTATGTCGCCATGTTCACCAACCTATTGTTCGAGGTGCCTAGCATGACGGATGAAGACAAGCTCATGTACTTCATGAGTGGCCTACAGAATTGGGCCAAGCTGGAGTTACAAAGGAGACATGTCCAAACCTTGTCAGAGGCGATTGCTGCAGCTGAGTCTCTTGTTGAGTTCAAGAGGAAGGATCAAGGCGACTCCAAGTTCAAAGGAAAGAAAGATAGCAGTGGATCCGGTGGGGGAGACAACAAGCCAAAAGAGGGTAGCAAGGCTGGAGACAAGTCTGACGGTCACAAGTCATTCGGGAAGAAGAATGACAAAGGTGACAAGGGGAAAGACAAGTCGAAGCTAGCTTGCTACTTGTGCGATGGAGCACACATGATGCGGGATTGTCCGCAAAAGAAAGCCTTGAATGCCATGAACCGAGAGAAGGAAGAGGAGGCCGAGAGGGAAGCGGGAATGGGGGCCATTCACCGCTTCAATGCCCTACATGCCAAGGGAGCTCAACCACAGGTTCAAGCCAAAAGTGTGATGTTCGTCGATGCCATGGTGAATGGTAAGACAACCCGTTGCCTGGTGGATACAGGTGCCTCGCACAACTTTATGTCCGTGCAGGAAGCAAAGAGACTTGGGTGTCGAGTCTCGAAGGAAGCAGGCAGTATGAAGACGGTGAATTCAACTGCCAAACCGATTGATGGAGTAGCTCATGGTGTGGAGCTACACATTGCCACTTGGAAGGGAGTAGCTGACTTCTCCGTGATCTCAATGGATGACTACGATGTCGTGCTTGGAATGGAGTTCATGGACAAGGTAAAGGCATTCCCCATTCCATTTTACAATACTATGTGCATTGCACAGGGTGGAGCAATGCCATGCATGGTGCCAGTGGTGAGGCAACAAGGCGAGACGAAGCTCTTGTCAGCCATGCAATTTTCCAAGTCTTGGAAGAAGGGCGAACCGACGTTCCTTGCAACTATGAAGATGGATGTAGTTCAGAAGGAAGTCCAACCCGTCCCGAAAGCTGTGAAGGCAATCCTTAAGGAGTTTGCAGATGTCATGCCCAAGGAGTTGCCCAAAACCTTACCACCTAGGAGAGAGGTGGATCATGCCATTGAGTTGGAACCAGGTGCCAAACCCCCTGCTAAGGCGCCGTACCGGATGGCACCTCCTGAGTTGGAGGAATTGAGGAAGCAGTTGAAGCAGTTGTTGGACGCTGGGTACATCCAACCGTCCAAGGCCCCTTATGGTGCCCCAGTTCTTTTCCAGAAGAAGAGGGAAGGAACGCTGAGGTTGTGCATCGACTATAGGGCGCTAAACAAGGTGACCATCAAAAACAAGTATCCAATCCCTTTGATTGCAGATTTGTTTGATCAGTTGGGAGGAGCTAGGTACTTCACCAAGTTGGACCTGCGCTCAGGATACTATCAAGTGAGGATCGCACCGGGAGATGAACCAAAGACCGCATGTGTGACGAGATATGGGTCTTACGAGTTCCTTGTCATGCCGTTTGGCTTGACTAACGCCCCTGCAACCTTTTGCACTCTTATGAACAAGGTATTCCATCCTTTCTTGGACAAGTTTGTTGTGGTTTACATCGATGATATTGTGGTGTACAGCAATTCCCTAGAGGAGCATCTTGAGCACTTGCAGAAAGTCTTCCAAGTTCTGAGGGAGAACGAGCTGTATGTGAAGAGGGAGAAGTGCTCATTTGTCCAAGAAGAGGTAGAGTTCCTTGGTCACAAGATACGGGGAGGTCAATTGCTCATGGAGGAGGGCAAGGTGCGAGCCATTCAAGAATGGGAGCCACCAACCAAGGTACCTGAGTTGCGGTCTTTCCTTGGGTTGGTCAACTACTATCGCAGGTTCATCAAGGGATATTCAGCCATTGCCGCCCCCTTGACGGATTTGCTTAAGAAGAACAAGGCGTGGGAGTGGACAACCCGATGCCAGCATGCCTTCGATGAGTTGAAGAGGGCACTTATGGAGGAACCCGTGCTGAGACTTCCTGATCTTAGCAAACCGTTTGAGGTACACACTGATGCATTAGATTTTGCTATTGGTGGTGTACTCATGCAGGATGGACACCCATTGGCTTTCGAGAGTCGGAAGCTCAATGACACGGAGCGGAGGTATACCGTTCAAGAGAAGGAGATGACAGCCGTAGTGCATTGCTTGCGGACATGGAGGCACTACTTGCTGGGTTCTCAGTTCGTGGTCAAGACTGACAATGTTGCCACAAGCTACTTTCAGTCTCAACAGAAGTTGTCACCCAAGCAGGCTAGGTGGCAAGACTTCTTGGCGGAGTTCGACTACAAACTGGAGTACAAGCAAGGGAAGACAAATGTCGTTGCTGATGCCCTAAGCAGGAAGGCCGCACTTGCAGCTGTTGTACAACCCCAGAGTTCTCTCATGCAGAGGATACGAGAGGGCTTGTTGCATGATCCTCAAGCCAAAAGTCTGTTGGAGCTTGTCAAAGATGGGAAGACAAGGAGATTTTGGCTCGATGATGGTGTTCTTTATGCAACAGGGAAGAGGATCTATGTTCCAAGGTGGGACAATCTGAGGCGAGAGCTACTGAAGGAGTGTCATGACTCGAAGTGGGCGGGACATCCAGGCACTCATCGGACGTTAGCCTTGATAAGTGAAGCTTACTATTGGCCACAGATGCGGGAGGATGTAGACTTGTTCGTGCGGACTTGTCTTGTATGCCAACAAGACAAGACATTGCAGAAGCAGCCGGGTGGGTTGCTAGAACCACTTCCTGTTCCAGCCAGACCATGGGAGAGTTTGTCCATGGACTTCATTGTGAGTCTACCCAAGTCAGAAGGGTGTGGCTCAATTTTGGTGGTGGTCGACAGGTTCACCAAGTATGCTACCTTCATCCCTGCACCAGCGGACTGCAATGCGGAGGAAGCTGCACGCTTGTTTATGAAGCATGTGGTGAAGTATTGGGGAATTTCCAAGAGTATTATCAGTGACCGCGACACTCGCTTTACTGGTAAACTTTGGACGGAGCTCTTCAGGCTACTTGGGTCACAATTGAACTTCTCTACCAGCTTTCACCCACAGACAGATGGTCAGACGGAACGGGTGAACGCATTGTTGGAGCTATACTTGAGGCACTATGTGAGTGCCAACCAGCGAGATTGGGCAAAGTTGTTGGATGTTGCTCAGTTCTCATACAACTTGCAGCGGTCGGAGTCAACAGGGTCAAGTCCTTTCGAGTTGGCAACAGGACAACAACCTATGACACCGAACACAGTGGTGTCAGGCTACACGGGGAGTAGCCCAGCTGCATACAAGACAGCCAAGGAGTGGCAGGAGACTAACGAGCTGGCTCGGGCTCAATTGGAGAAGGCAACTCGGAAGATGAAGAAATGGGCGGACAAGCATAGGCGAGATGTTGTGTTCCAACCAGGTGATATGGTCTTTGTGAAGCTCAACCCCTCTCAACACAAGTCCACTAGAAAGTTACACAAGGCGTTGTTGAGGAGATATGAGGGCCCATTTCCTATCATCCGATCAGTGGGAAGAGCTGCTTACCGTGTGGAACTACCACCCCGATTGAAGATTCATCCGGTGTTCCACGTGAGCAATCTCAAGCCCTACCATGCCGACCCCGAGGAGCCAAGTCGTGGAGAGTCTCAACGAGCTCCACCTTTGATGGTAACTTCATTTGACAAGGAGGTTGAGTGCATCATGGCCAAGCGAGAGGTGCGACGCAAGGGTGTACCGAGGTACTTTGAGTACTTTGTCAAATGGAAGGGCTTGCCAGATTCCGAAGGCAACTGGGAGAAAGAAGAGTCTTTGTGGAAGTACAAAGACATCATCGAAGCATTCGAACGAGAAGGATCTACCTCGGCGACGAGGACGTCTCCGGATTAGGTGGGGGAGAATGTCACGGCCCGCATGTTCAAGGCCCAACCCGTTGGATTGATCATGCTAGACCTCTTAGCCCACATGTCCAGAGTCGTTGTATAGTAGTTGGTAGACTACAGTTGGTGACAATAGTTGGTAGACTACAGTTGGTGACAGTAGTTGGTAGACATTGGTAGGTGACCTTGTATCTTAGCCACCTACTGTGGTGGTAGGTGGGATAGGGACAGTATATAAGGGGGATGACACATTGTGTATCCTCACCTCACAACTTGTAAAGCATTTGAGTAGCAATACAAGCATATATTCTCCCAAACTCTGTTAAGCATTCTTACTGTTCTTGCTCTTGCGATTGTTCTTTGCTTGGTTCGATCTTGTGTTGTAGGAAGGAGGCTGACTTAGCTTGTTCGAGAGGCGATCAAGTCTAAGGCCGCACGAAAGGAAGACTCCGAAAAAGTCATCCCGTGACACTAGGCAGGGCAAACCAAAAGCATCTTCAGCCACAAGGCTTGCAACACGAGAGGAGGTGAGAGCCCAAAATATGAAAGCGTAACAATAAGAGAGATCCCAACGAGCAAAGAGTATCCGCTACCACATTTTGTTCTCCATAAATCTGATCTCCCTACAGTTTTTTTTCTTTACAATCCCCCGAAGAAGTATCTCCTCTGCATTTTTTTCTAATCCATCATAACTTAGTCTCAACATGTTCTCAATTTCTTGGTTGGGAAATTTTTTTCAAGTTATTCAATTCATCTTCCCATTCATGATTGTTGTCACAGTGAAGGAATAAGGAACCCAAAATCTTAAGAGCTAATGGCATGCCTCTTGCGTATTCTATCACCAACTTTGTATAACATATTTCAGTCGAGTTATTTTTTAAAGCATGTAAATGAAATAGCTCACGAGCTTCATCATAAGATAATCCCTCAACCTTGTATATCTTATCATCATCAACCTTTTTCTTAAGTAGGCGCCTGTCCCTTGTCGTTATAATTATTCGACTCCCAGAGCCAAACTGAAAATGATCACCAACTAGAAGTTATAATTGGGTTGAAGCACTCACATCATCCAGAACAACGAGGACCTTTGTATTGCTGAGCCTTTCTCGAACATAAGTTGATCCTATAGATGGAGTGCCGATGGTTAGATCTTTTTCATTTAATATCTCACGAAGAAGGACATTTCGCAAGTGCTTTAGTCCATGTTTTTCTGACTCGTCCCTAACATTTGCAAGGAAGCAAGAAGCTTCAAATTCAGAAGAAAGTCGGTGATACACAACATCAGCAAGAGTGGTCTTGCAAATGCCACCCATGCCCCAAATACCAACGGTGCAAACATTTGGCGAATCAATGCATAATAACCTTTCTATTTGCTCAATTTTCCATTCAAGTCCAACTAGTCCCTTTAAATCAGGTGACGATTTCCGATTCAATTTGGTCAAAATATCTTTGACAACTTTCTCAACGAAATTGGCATCTGTCCTGGAAAATATGATTATAACGACAAACTATATTTAGCAAGAGTAAGTGTGCCCTAACGAATCTTGTTCAAATTTAATGGTCACAAGTTGCAGAATTAGTTACCCTGTTTTGTTTGAATTATCAAACCCAGCCATATTGGCTGCTTTTTTCGAAGCATCTCTCCAGTTGCGCACCTTCATAACTCTCTCCATGCTGTCCTTGAAACGTGTTTCAAGTTGAGTAAATGCAGAAGCATAACTTCCCTGTTAATTTCGTACGTGTGATGGGTCAATACAGTAAAACATTGGTAGAACAAAGTGCTCACCTCTTTCCTTGCATCGCAATATATGCACAAGTTCATCCAAGCACCATGTGGAAGAAGCATAGTTTTTCAAGAAAATGATTACCGAAAGATTTGATTTTTCAATTGCTTCGAGAAGGGATGGTGCAATTTCCTCTCCTCTCTAAAGTATGTCGTCTATGTAGGTTTTGATCTTCTTTGCACATAAAGCAGCATAAAGATGGCTGGTAAAAGTATAGCGGGTGTCCTCACCTCTGAAACTAAGAAACACATCACACTTTTCCTGAGTGGGGATGGCAGCAGCAGGGGAAGAAGCAGCCATATTGATAACCTGCATACCCACTTCAAGTCAACTCAAAAATTCACCATATTCTTAACCAGAAAATCCATGCATATTCATGACACATGCAAATGAACAACCTAAGAGATTAATATGTAAACATAAGCGAAAAGGATAACAAAGACAGAGAGGATGAACTCAAAGGTCGGCTCCTGCTTCTGGGACTGGACTTGTTTCTCCTATCTTGATAAGAGTACATATAAAGGAGTTGGTTTTTCACACTTTTCACTCTAACCAACTAAGAGGAATGGCTGATAATATCAACTAGCCAATAAACCTACCCAGCCATACAAATATAAGAAGCAAATAGGGTTCGTAAAGTCCTTAAACATAATACAACAAAAATAGTTTCTGACATGAAAGGCTCAAGCCCTTTTTCACAGACAAGAATTAGTCTGAGCTCTTTTTGACATAAACTCATATATATAACTTTTGAAGTTAATACTTAATTGTAAAATTTTATGTTTAGGATATATTAGTGGAGTTGGTGAGATAGATAGACTTGTGGTCAGTGGCTGATCCAAGAATTTTCATTTCGGGGGTCAACGTGTAAAAGGTTAAAAAACATTTATACAAAATAGACCCATTGAAATGAAACGATAATACTTTGATTCATGGTTAATAGATAAAACCATACAAAATACTCATACAATACACTAGAAATATCTCTAAGAATGTGATAATAAACCAAAAAAATTAGTACAATCCTCTTCGCCTCCCAAGGTGTCTCGTCCTATTCGATATAAAAACTAGCATATATTAGCGCAATCCTGCTTATTTTAGGGCGTTTACGTCATTTTTTAGGTCCGTTGTAGTTTTGATTTCAGGCTTTATCTGCATTTTTTTGGGATTCTAGCTCTCAAACTTTGGACCCTTATGAGTACTGTCTTAAGGGGAGCTTATTCAAGCAAATATATACGTAAGAGTTAGGTTATTCTTGTAAAACTCTTTGTGGATTGAACATCTAAGGTTTTTCACCTATATTAACCTTAGGTCCCCTCATGCATTCATATCATACATGAAAAGTTGTTTTATGTAAAAATATTGGCCAAGTATGAAAAATGGTTTTTCAGAATAATCATTTTCTCAATATAATTTTTGGCGGCTTTTATTTCTTACACATCAAATAAGAAAACTTGATTTTATGGGATTTTAGTATGAAGTATATATTGACTTAATGAGCCATCATTTTTAGCCTAAATCGTATTTTGCATTAAAACCGATTTTTCATATTTTGATTCGGTGGGAATTTGATTTTCTAGTATTTTTATTTTAATCCAAATGGGGAGTACTTCCTTATTTACATTGTAAACTTAAATAAATGGTGTACTATAAAAATAAATAAAAATAAAAGGACAAAGAGTAATTTGCATGCTGTTTGGTGTGCTGCGCCCTCTAGAGCATTTCATCAAGCAGTTTATGGGCAATTTTCAGGGGTCAACGTCTTCGCCTCCAATTGTGAATTCCGGGCTTGCAAGGGTCAATTGACGGCCCTTGGCCCTTGTGTGGAGTAGAGTGCGTTTAAGGAAGCAGCCATTAGGTCTATCGGAAACACCACTCTTCAATGCCCATGAAATCAATCCGTCCTTATGACCGAACTTGTAAATCTTATCACGAGGAAGAGTTTTCTTAAGTAGACTCTTATCTCTAGTTGTTATAATGATTCTACTTCCAGGGCCAAACTTAAGACGCATACTACATGCTAGATTTTCTATCTGGCTTAAATCATTCACATCATCAAGAACAATGAGGACCTTTGTACGGTTGAGCCTTTCTTGAATAAAGGGCGATAGAGTTGGAGTGTTGATAATTAGACCTTTTTCGTTTAATATCTCACCAAGAAGTTGATTTCTCATGTGATCCAGTCCATGTCTTTTTGACCCCTCCTTAACATCTGCAAGAAAACAAGTAGCTTCAAATTGACGAGACAGCCGGTGAATTAAAACATCACCAAGGGTGGTCAGCCAACTCTTGCCCAAACTGCCTACCCAACTGCCTACCCAAATGCCTACAGTAGTGCAAATATCTGGTGAATCAAGGCATAATAACGATTCAATTTCCTCAATTTTTCTTGAATAAAATTTATCCTGGTCCTCTAAATCACTTGACAATGCGCGATACAGTTTGTTCAGAACATCTTCGGCAACTTCCTCAACGAAATCAGCCTCCGTCCTGAAAAAATATGATCATGAAGAACAAAGAATAATATTTAGTAGCAGATATGAATTAAATCAAAAAAATATGAATTAATAATAATATTTAGTAACTACCCCTTAACAATTCTTGTATGAATGAAATGGTCAAGAGTTACCTTGTTTTTTTTGAATTATCAAAACCAGACATATTGGCTGCTTCCTTCAAGGCATTCCTCCACATGAGCACTTTGTCCATGTTGTCTTTGAAATGTTTTTCATGTTTAGCTAATGCATCTCCATAACTCCCCTGTTGTTTCCGTACCTGTGATGGATCTATGTCGTAAAAAATGGGTATGACAATTTGTCCTTCTCTTTTTCTGCATTCCAATATGTGCGCAAGTTCATCCAAACACCAGGTGGAAGAAGCATAGTCTTTCGAGAAAACGATCAACGAAAGCTTTGATTCCTCAATCGCTTGCAACAGGGAAAGTCCAATTTCGTCCCCCCTCTGAAGTCTGCAATCCATGTAGGTCTGAATTTTCTTATGACCTAAAGCAACAAGGAGATGGCTGATAAAAGTGTCCCGGGTATCTTCACCTCTGAAACTTATAAACACCTCATGCTTTTGTGGAGGGGGATTAGCAAAAGAAGAAGAAGAAGAGGATGAGGCCATATAAAAAAAAAAAAACCTACGAACCCTACAAGAGTATTCAAAAGGATGACGCCTCTATGCACCTCAGAAATGAGGCGAGCTAGCTAATATATAGTATTCAGCAGAGAGAAACACGTAAAAAGGAAATTACGAAGGTCTCCGAATAATTAAAGTTGAGTGTGACTTTTTTACTACTATCTCCTTAATTAATGGAGAGACTAGACCTTGTCACCCTCTCTCTAGCCTCATTCATAATTGCAAAGACATGCTCTTGCATGACTGGGAGTGTTTCATTTCTCATATTTATAGAGAACAAAACATTGCTGCTGACCATATGGCACATATGGGTCAAAGTTCCAATTTGGGTTATCATGTTGTTGTTCTTCCCCCTCCTTCTGTTGTAAGCCTCTTGGCAAATGACTCTGTTAAGATGACCACTCCTAGGCTTGTCCCAGTGTAATTTTCTTTTTGGTTTTCTCTTGGGCTTCGGCCATACTTGTAACCGGGAAAAAAAAAGGGGAAATTACGCAAGGAGTGGAACGAGTCAAATTAAATGAGTGATTAAATCAACTCTTGATGACTTGTGGCAGAGATAACGGCTACACCCGGCCTTTCAAGCCTGCGTGACGCGACTTTTCCAAATCATTTCTATTGCAGGATGGAAAATTCTACGGAAACGAGTTGCAGAGAGGTTGCCTTTCTTCTTTAGAAGGATATTAGCTTGTGTGTGAAAGCAATAAATGTTGGAAGTGTGAGAAATATCAGCTCGCCTTGCGGAGACTTGTGGAGACTTGTGGAGACCGCAGCTGTCATATTTGGATGGGTTTGTTGGGCGTCGTATTCTTGAGAACTCTGTGATTGTATGGGGATTGAAGGATACTAATCAAAACATTAATGGCACCAGCTACCTATTTGTAATTAATATTGAGTTATTTCCAAGCGAAATGTCAAATACCAAACATAAAATTTAAATTTGATGACTAATGTGGCAATTTGACATCTTATACAACTTTACACTCCACCTAATATGTCAAATTAAATTATTATTTTATTATATTTTAGTGTTGATTTATTTTTAATTAAAAAGAAAAAATAATAAAATATTTATTTGACATCTTGCTTTTGAGATGTCAAAAATAACATCTCAACATCCAGCCTTCATTCCACATCAGCTTTAACACATCGATTTGAGTGATATGAGATGTTATTTCTAATTATTAAATGTCTATATGGCACTTTTAACATATTGGTTGAAGATGCTCTAGCAAGTCTTTTCTTCTTGTATAAATTCCTGCTGTTAGTTATACAAAGTAATAAAGTTGAAAACCAGAAAAATTATCTTCACTCATTCTCATATTCTCCCATAGGCTCATATTTTAGCCTCTCATATTTTGACAAAGGAAGCAATCAGACGGGGAAGTTTTGGGTACGAGGCTTGTGCAATGAAAGTGAACTTTATTAACTTCATCCTAGATGAAAGTCAACTGTACTATACTATGTGTAATTCTTAGTCTTTTTGTTTTTTCGATACAAGCGATGTTCTACTTAAATATAATCTAAATTATGGAGAGAGAAATTTAAATTTTGGTATAGAGTGAGAAGCACATCTATTATAACCAACTTGGCTAAGCACATGTCTGCAATTCTTAACAAATTTAAATTAATATATACACTAAATATTACCAAAACTCTGAAAAATAGGTGGTGTCTGCTGTGTAGCACCACTACATTTTTCATTGGGTCAAAACCAGTGGTTAGCGCCGTAGAACTGACTAACCAGTAATCGTTTGACTCGTCGTAGTTGAATACTAACAATTTTTGTAATTTAAAATCCAATTGTGTTGGTACCCAGGAGAGCCAAGGGCTTAAAACAAGAAATACTTTTGGACATCCCTAAGCCTGATAAACTCAAAGGCATCCTCAGCCACAAGGATTGCAACAGCAGGAGATCCCAAACTCAAAACTCAAACTTTTCTTTTTTATAATTTTTCCTTTTAATTCTCTGAGAAGGTAGTTCGTCTTCTTGTTCCTTCATCCGGAGCTAAAAATTTTACTGCCAGATGCTTACCGGATGTGAGATTATTTACACTATTTTTAGTTACCACACTGCTTGCAAGCTTGGTTTTCAATTGAAGCCACAGAGGAGTTTTCCAATACTGAGGCAATTCATTCAAGCATGTTTCACAGTAACTGGACAGATGTTGGGGGAGACGAGGATAACTTAACGTGTACAATGCATCTAAGGAGTTGAAGAATATGTAATTACCCATTTAGGCAAACTAACTACAGCTTTACACTCTGAATATCAACAACACAGCATTCAAACTGGTAACTAGGCTTGCACCTGCAGTGTCCGGGAAGTTCAAGCCCCTCTCCCCAAATTGGCACGGAAGGCTCTTTCTATGTGCCAAAGCAGATTGTAAATTGGCCATCTTATCAGATCTCCAAATCTTGAAAATCAATCATTGGATGCACGTCGTCTATCAACACATAGCACATCTCGTTTGGTTAAAACGCATACCCAAATAATGTTCTATAACTTCACTATGCTTTCACAAACGTCCGGCTGGACACACCATGCAACAACTTCACAAAGCCAAGGAAGCTTAGCTTCCCATCAGTGTGCCTAATCCAGTCATGGAGAACCACATGAAGCGGAATCGAGGGACCAAGTCCAAGTTCCTGAAACACATTTTGAAGATAATGTAAATAACAGTAGTCTTAGTTCGCTACAGTCCAAAATGTACTAAGCCTTATAAATCTTTTGTTTCTAGAATGGTAAAAATAAGAAGTAAAAGAAAAGGCAAATCAACATGTCAAGATCATCTTTTCTAAATGGTTTGACAACTGGCAGATCCTACTAAAATGCAGATGCATAGGATGCACTGACGTACAAATTAAAAACCCTAGACCAACATACACTTTGGGAGTATGGTCCTTACTTTTTCAATTGTTTCAATTAGATCTTTCAATTTTTCAGTGAAGCAATGTGATCTGTTAGGCACCATAATCACGATTTTGTTATCGAAAGTGTTGATGTGGACCACTGTTTACTGATATGACGCAAAGGTTAGGATAGAGCAAATGCCATGCAGCGTTCCTGCCACCTACCCGTATTATAGTCTACACAATATAATAAGTCCATTTTTCTGAATTGGAGCATTAAAATTGCTTACAGTGAGGTCAACTAAATTACTAACTACAGTAGTTTCCTGTTTTTCTCTGGATATGAAGCAAACTAGTAATTATTATTGTGATGGAGGAATGAATGACATTGATTTTTATTTGAAAAATAAAAGGACTTGGTTAAAACAAGTGAAAAAACATGGACCAAAAGTCTGGTTTATCCAAAACTCTTTAATATAATTAGTTCTCTCCACAGTAACTAGTTCCAATATTCTGATTGTTTTACCAGGGGAACAAGTAACATAGAAATTGGTTAGAGATGTAAATCAACTCCAATTAATAACTAACATGAATGCTCAGAAATCAACCTATGATAATCAAACTCTTTAATTTAATTTATAGCAACACTGCAAAATGTGACAATAAAATTTCAACTTACTGAAGCGAGTTCTTCAATGACAATTGCCCTGTTTCCATCCTTCTCGAAAAGTTCATATGCACATCGTGCATGTTGTTCCCAACGATCAAGTGCCTCCAGCTGATGAACACTTAATGCAGCTGCACAGAACTCTTCAAAATCCATTCTTCTGTATTGAAGTGCATTTAGCTGTCATGGAAGAAATAATCAGTCAGTAATTTTACAACCTATGAGACCTAACACAACAGAAAAAGTCAAGGAACATCAAAGAAAAAAAATAGCATACACATTATTACCGATGCAATGAGATCGGGAATGCGAGACTCCTTCATTGCATCTGTAGCATTTTTCATCAGGGCCTGTCCAGGACAAAATTATAAGAATACTATAAGCATTGACTTATCTCACAGAGAGAGAGAGAGAGAGAGAGAGAGAGAGAGAGAGAGAGAGAGAGAGAGCAACCATTCTAATATTGTCAAGAGTTATAGTGCCATTTTTGTTTGGCTCCAATAGTGCAAACTGCTCCTTCAGATAAAAGAGCTCATCCACAGTCAATGTCTTAGATAAGGCCTGTCACGAAAATTGACATAAAAATGAACTGTTTAGAGATCGATTATATATATACCATAATTTCAAGTTATGAACAATATAAAACATACAACAAAAAATAAAAAACAAAACTATGCACACACATAGAAGAATAATTTGGATGAAGCAACTATCGAGTAACTGATGATAACACCTTAGCAAACCCCACAACTTCCCTTATTTTTACCAGGCTTTGATGGGTTTATTGATCATCATAATAATTATGGAATACTAATAATTATTCTCAAATTTTCACATGTTTTAGGATGCAAAAACAAGAATCCCATTCAACAAGAAAACTAACCCAACCATTTGACTTGATATACAAAATTCTTAAGACCAAGAATCTGATTCAGCATGGGCAAAATTCGAGAAAAAGTTCTCTTTCTTTCGTCAGTGAAAACATATACACACCCTTAAAGCAGCCTTTCGAAGTGATGATGATCGCATATAAACCTTCATGAGTCTAAATATTAAAATATCAAGAGGCACTTTTACATCATTATAATTCCTGATCCAAGGATGACCTGCCAACAAAAGATTATGGTCAGTGACTCAGGAAAGTGATGGCAGAAAATACATAATAGAGATAGGGAAGACTCACTTAAAGCCTGCGCTGCTGTCATTCGTTTCCGAGGGTCCTTGTTCAATAAGCGTTTAACAAAGTCCTTTGCTTCAGGAGATAAAGACGGCCAAGGTGCTTCATCAAAACTGGGATCAGCTTTCAACACCGCTCGAAAAATCCCAGACTCAGTCCGGGCCCAAAATGGGCGACTACCACATAAAAGAATATATGCTATTACACCTATGCTCCAAACATCAGCCTCTGTACTATAAGATCTATGTAGAACCTCAGGTGCGACATAGTATGCGCTTCCAACAATATCATTAAGCCTCTCATCTGTAAGCCAGAATGAGTATTAAAACCCCCCCCTCCAAACTCCAAAGGCTGAGACATTAATAAGAAGATAGAGCTGGATTATTCAAGAAAGGACATACCTGGTTTGGCAAAATCTGATAAGCCAAAATCAATGGCTTTCAACTGGGAATTCTCATCCTTAGCGGAATACAAAAAGTTCTGATAAGAAAAATGAAAAAAGGACATTAGTTTGATACAAATATAATTACATATAGAACAATCAACAGTAACAAATATATCAAGCAGCCAGAACTTCTAGCTTTAATGATGGATATCTGACATATGTATCAAGGTATCTGGCACAGCAATATGGGGAGACATCAGTTTTCTTGTACATTGTTAGGAGGAAACCCTACACTTCCCACATAAAACGTCTTTTGAACAAAGCACATAAAGATACCATATGGACCAAGCATATATGGGTCAATACTCGGGCTTTTTCTTCAGTTCTTCAAAACACCTGTTAAAGAAACAGCTGGGAACCTCAGCTACAGTAATTACAGCAATGACATCAGAAATCTGGGAACTGAAGGTACAGGCTGGGAACTTATGAGACCCATGGAAAATCTACTGATACGAGTTCATGAGATCGGAAGCATCAAATAGTAATAACAATACTAGAAAAGAATTTTAGTCCAGAAGAAAAATTGGTTTAGTCCTGCTACAGGATAGTGTTTAAACTTAGTCCAAAAGAGAAATAGGTTTTAGTTCTCCTAAGGATGACGTTTAATCTTAGTCCACAAGAATCAACCATGTATTAGTTTCACTAATTTGAAACGGTCAAATAATTTTTGGGAAACTACGTATCCAGTCAATTGAAACATATGCGGATTTTATTGCAGCCTCTCTGTTGTATAAAAGCAAGCATCAGTTGTGGCAGTTCCATTTCTTGTATAAATTGTTGGGGGTTGGGGAGGGGAACACTTGAATCTAAATTAAGAATGTTTTCCCCCCTAAACCCAATAGTGCGGGCAAGATTAATCAGCCTCATACACTACCAGAAAGCCCCTTCATTCAGTCAATACCCACACCCACATTCCTATACTCAGATCTTCATAACAAATGTAACCTTTAAACAGGCATCTCATAACAAGAAAAGAAAGGAACATGTTCCACCTCTGGCTTAAGATCCCGATGCACCACACCCTGAAGATGACAAAACGCAACAACATTCAGTACTTGAACCATGACAGTCTTCGCATCATCTTCAGAGTATTTCCCGCCCCTTCAGAAGTAACATGATATCAAGTTAGTGGCAACAATTAACAGCATCTGAAAGTCCCAAGGAAGATTTGTTAAATTTTTTTATTATATACTATCATCTAAAAAATACCTTGAAAGTATTCTATCTAAAAGCTCCCCACCTTCGCATAACCTGAAATGTCAAAAAATTTGAATACCGTAAATTCAGAGAGCATTAAGCGATCTTCCATATAATGTAAATTAATAAAAATGAAAAACAGAAAACCAACTGAATCATACAAGCTCACCAAGGGGATTAATTGCTCATACTCAATAATGGGGCAAGTTTAGTGAAGTATTCAGAAAAATATAACTTTTCACCTCAGTCAATAACTATTACTTGTGCAAAAGAAAAACCAGATGTAGTATTAAATAGTAATTCAAATTTTAAGCTTACTCCATTACTATGTAGACATTATCACTGTCTTCAAATGCATCATAGAACTGAACTAGATTGCTATGTCCCGTCAAGGCACGCAATATCTTGACCTCCCTTCTCACATCCTCAATTGCAATGGCAGTTGTCATCTAACAACAAAGAATACATTGGCATGACAATAAATTATCATAACAAAAATACAGAAACTGCATATTATCTAAAAATATCAACAACCAAAACCACCACTCATAACACATCTCACAGTAATGCATTGTCAAGGCCTTCTATATACTTCTTTAAGTACTTCACATCTTATATTTCACCTCCAAATTTACTCAGGAAACAGGACTTCATGATCTTGGACCTTTTTCCCATGCAACTGGAGTATTTACCTCATCCAATTTTGCATTTGTTCAACATTCGTAATACGTAATCTACTTTATATAAAAATAATTAAACTCTGTTCTCCCAGCATATGAGGCATAATTTTATGTTTATTAGAGGCTAGAAAGATGTCCGCTGCTATCCCTCAAGAGTTTTTTCTCTTCCCCGTCTTTCTTTTAGAATGACTTGTCAGGAAGGAAAGCAAAGTCGTCATCTTCTATTCTTTAATGAAAGAGTGGGTAGATTGAGTCAGCTTGACCCTGGATATTGGTTCAGCTTCAGTCCCATATTCCTTAGTATTGGTTGGACATAGATCTTTTGTAACTTTGTTCAAAATAATATACTGTCAATCATATAGCTCCAATTATTGCTGAACCACCTCATGGTACACGATCATCAGAACACAAAACAACAAAAGATTAAGTACAATGTTTCTTTTCTCTTGGAATAAGTGTCAGACCACCTAATGAGGGTTCTAATGGTTACCATGTATTTAGTCAATATCGTGAAATGTGACCTATGAAAAGTTTTCGGCAGTTTGGGATGGCTGTGATCATGGGTTGTTACCCAGCTGTGATCATCGATTGGCTGCCATATGATCTAGTTCAATTATATGCCACTGTGAAGACCAAAACCACAATTTGGACCATGACTTTTGTCCATATTTAGGTCCACTCACAACTCTTGGACTGTATGCTTTGTTTATCCTTTAGAAGGAACTGTCACATCTTAGACATCAACGAAGTGTTATATGGAGGAGAAGCCGTTAAAGAAAAGAAAATAAACAGTTGTGTTTATTCCTATTCCCACTACATGGAATTCAATCAATCACCAAACATACTAATTGTTTCAAGGAAAAATGTACTTTCGTTCCAAAATGTGATTTGAACATAAAATATCCCAACTTGTGTGGCAAAACATGGTGTAAGCCATTCAGTTGGATCAAGTAGGCCAAGAGATCAACACCTATCATTGACCAAAGAAAAGCAATAAACAAACAAGTTGGTCACTTTACACCCCTTTCACTCAAAGTTCCAAGATGTGGAGCTGTATACATCTTTAAAAAAAATTAATGCCTAATAGTCTATATCTAGAAGGATTCCTCAACAGTCAATTGATATGAACACATGACAAAATCTTGTAAAGATCTTCCTTGTGTTGCATTCAACCTTGAGTCTTCACTCAGGTGGGAATTAACATAATCACACAGTAAACTAGTAAAGTACCTAATTTAATAAACCACAAACCACCATTCCCTGGCTCCACCCACAAGACCCACAACAACAATACTAATAACAGGGATTCAACATAGGCCTAAAATCTCAGCTTTTATCTTGAAGTGAAGAATGACAAAAATAAATAATAAATAATAAAAAGAACCCGACTTTTATCCAGCAACATTAAGCAAATGGGGTGGAGCAAATCCAATTCTTACAACAATAGAAAAAGAAAAAAAAATCATACATGCTCCTTATTATCAATTCAATCCTAAGCAAATGAGAGCATTCATAGATGAGCTAAAGAGATAAGGAATTAAAGAAAGCACGAACCTTTGATTTGGGGATGACCTTGACAGCAACCTGCTGACCCTTAAACTCACCCTTCTTGAACCTAGCAGAGCAAGTATACCCAAAATGCCCTCGACCCACTTCGTCGCCAACCTCCAATCGGCTTGTTAACTCCTTAGAAAACCCAAACCTCTTGTCCAGCTCAACCCCATCTTCGTCCTCAGCATCCTCCGGTATCGCCACCGAAGCCGAGGCCTTTTTGCCGAGCCGCCGAGCCAGCACGGCCTTTATGTGTTTGGCCGGCGACGGCGGAGGAAAGGGTCGCCGGAAAAAGCGGCTGGGAGTGGAAGTGGCGCTCTTGGTCCTCGCCGGAGACGACTTCTTGAGGTAATGGGCGGGGCTCGGACTGTAGAAGGGGAAGAAGGGGGACTGGGACTGGGACTGCCGGGAAACGACGTCGTCCTTGTGGTGGTGAGGGGTGAGGGATGGGAGGGATTTGGGGGTTTGTGAAGGGTTGGTTTGGTCATTTGGGTCTCTGGAGGAATATGGGTTGGGTTTTGGTGGCTTTGAAGTGCAGGTTCCCATGGTGAATTCAAATGAAGAGTGTGAGTGGGGGATTTGAGAGGTCTGAGCTCAACTGGGTCAAAGGTTGAGACTTTGAGGTTGAATGGTTGCTTAATTCAATGGCTATGGATGTGCCATTGTGAAAATGTGTGTCAGTGTAGCTCTAGCTCTAGGGTTTGTTTGTGAATGCTGTTGGGTGTTGTTGTTGCTCCACTTTTCTTGTGTTGCATAGAGAGAGAGAGAGAGAGAGAGAGAGAGAGAGAGAGAAGCAGGGGCTGGTGGAGCTGTTGGAGTTAATTATAAAAGGTGGGGAAAAGGTGTAAATGTGTTGAGAGAGAGAATGAGGATTTGTTGGGGGAGGAGGACGACGAGAGAGAGAGAGGACTGTGGGAGATGGAAGTGAGGGAGTGAGCTGTAGCTTGTAGCCTTGTATGATCTCACTGGCCACGGGTCAAGCACATGGAGTTTTTTATTTTTTTCTTTTAGGTTGAGGGGTTTTTGTTTGTGAATTGGGATTTGGGGGTTGGGAAGGGAACTTGGGATTGGGTTTTTTTGGGCACTAGAGGTTTTTGGGGCGGTGCTCCGGTCTTCATTCTTCAAGATGACGCCAAGACAAGGAAGAAAGTTGGAAAGTGGATTAGTCATTGCCCTTGGTAAAGTCACTATTATTTTATTTTTAGACCCCAAAGGCACCAAATACAAAAGTCACAATTATTTTTTCCAATATACTTCCCATTTTTTCACCCAAAAAAAAAACCTTCCCATTTTTACTGTATTTATTAACAAATTCTTTAGATTATGTTTCCAAGTCTTCTTTTTTAAACTAAAGCGATATTATAAACTATTTTAATGGACAAAGAGAGGAATTGAACTTTGGTGCAAAGGAATAGAACACACTACAATATTATAAACTACTTTAGTGTACGAAGAGAGAGATCGAACTTTAGTGCAAAGGAGAATAACACATTGTCTTTATCAACTGACCTAATTAACGTCTCCTTATATTTGCAAGTTATATAATTCAGAATTGGTGTTCTTAGTTTTAAGAGATTTTTTCTTCCAAAAGTATTTCTCACTATAATGCTATTTTAGAGCATTTCCCTAGCAATAACCCTTTCTCATCTTCATATACGGCAGAATTGTTTATTCTATTTAGTGGGGCAGTTAAATAACGTAAATCATAATTAAATTCTAATCAATACTCATGAAAGCACAATTATTGAGGAAGACGGGAAACAGGGAAGCATAGATCAGTACAGTGAGAAAATGATCCGTATCCCCATTTTTTATTATTGCTCACGATCTCGTAAGTCCTAACACACATAGATTATTCAAATTAAAATTACGAAAGGAGTGCAGAATGTAAAGTGTATTGGCCTGATTTATTATCAGTTTTTTTTTCCTTTTTTTTTCTCATTGTTTCATGTTTTGCTAATGAATGACCCATCTATTCAATCATTTGAACTGAAAAAAAAAATGTCATAGCTTTTCTTCTTTTCTTTTTTTTTCTTCTCTTTCATGAGCTTTTTCTATATAAATAAAACTCTTTCAATGTATCCTTGTTTTATGTCATGCATGTATGCAGAGGAAGAATTATATAATAGCAGCCAAGTGGTCAATTTGCATGCAATCTTGTGGTTCTCATTAAGTCAATTGAAAATCACTTAGCTTATAATTGGAGATGGAAATCACATAAATTAGAGATGGCAATCAAGTTGTGTTGAATCGCATCATTTTTGCTTTACGTTGAATGCTAGTCAATGCGTGTTAGTTAGGTAATTAGATTATCTAAGTTAAAGTTAGGTACCTTAATAATAACTGGTTTTAGACCAGTTAATCAGGCATTGAGCTCGCATTCTTTTAGTCAGGTTTGAATCTTCTTTCTGTAAGTTAATTAGACTATTACTTGTATACGAAAAAGTATATATATAAAAAAATTTGATTTGTTTAATAATTGTGTCGTATTTTTAAATTAAGATTATGATATTCATTTTTAAATTAAACATATCACTTGTATTGTATACTTCTCATATCATCTAAATGTTAGCAAAATCAAGAAACTCGGTAACTTTTTTATATCCTCCTTCATACAAACACAAACATCTTCCTTAGGGTAAAAATTCATTGCCTAAAATCTTATACAGCTTATCATTTTCAATCTTTTTTTTCTTTTTTCTTTTTTTTTATTTTTTTGCCAAAAAAAAAAACAATATTCTTTTGAGAAGTGGTTTTATCTAATGATGATAATTGTATCGTATGAGTTCGTATTATAATAAATCTTGTTATTTATGAATTCGTATCAAGTAATGCTAACCCTAGCCCATACATGTCTCGTATTGTTTTGAAAAATTGTCATCCAATGAAGATGATCGTTAAATTATGATACTGACTAAACATAATCTCTCATGACTATCACCAATACTAATGATTGTTGTTTTGGTAATCCTATGTTAATTACACAGTAGTAAAAGGACAATGAATTTATCTCAAACTCAACAAGAAGAATGCAGTTCGTGACAGGTATTTATTAACATGGACCCATCCGAACAAACGCATGCAATAATAGGAGGGTGCTTGTACTTCTTATAAATCCCCTCCTTCGACTAAAACTTATATGCAACGAGGTGTATATCTATTTATATATATATCTATTATGTTATGACAAGAAAGTATACACTTCGTGACATGTAAGTTTCTCTCTTTTATTCTCCATACATATTTGTGCAACTAGACACAAAAGAGTCGGCCATAAAATGTTAAACATCACGAGAAATAGACAAGTAGCATCCATAATGACGAGTCATTACTTGCTCAGAAATATGCTCAAGAGAGCAGCCCCAAAGGGCCATACCTTATAGCTTTTTCCCTATGGTCAATTCCCCTTCAATTATGATCAAATCCAATAGACTTTTCTTTTTCTGTTTCTACAATGACCATTGAACTGCAAACCTAAAAAACCAAAGAAAATTCAATGATTCAATCCATATATGTTAGGCCTTGATGGTAATGTAATTTTCTTTTTCTTCTTTTTTTTTTACCAATTAATGATATGGTTAGAATAATAACACTTTCTAGGATTTGATATATTCTGTTTCACTCTGAAGAATCCATCCAAAAAAAAGAAAGTAAAAAAGCTAAAGTCCTCACAATGATGGTTGTGACTGAGTTCGATCAAGAGAGAGGCTGTGGATTGCCAAAGTGGGTTTCCAATCTCTCATGGAAATTCCCACTTATATATTCTTTTTGTTTTTGTTTTTTTTAATTTATTTTTCCTTTTTGACCCTTCATCAACTTTGTTGTTTCTTAAAGGGTCCTCAACATTATTCATTCCAAGTTCAAGTGACTTTGAAATTTCATCCCCCATTATCCCATTATGGAACTTCAATGAGTGGGTTCCCCACTACATGACATTGTGAGGGAATAAACAATCTCTCTTTCTCATCAACATGTTTTTGACATTTGTACACACATTTGACCTCCTATAATATAAACTAACATTTTCGCGCCTAATCAATGCCACTTAAAAATGAAGGAGAGGTCACCTACCTGCACATAAAAACATTTCTGGATTAACCACTCTAATTACCCTTTTGCATTTGTAATTACATGTTTGGGAGATCTTGTGCATGAAGCCATTTTTGCCAAATAGTTGGGCAGTATTTTAGGTATGTATGAGAAGCTTACAGAAAACTTTTAATAATAATAAGAAAATGCTTTCTGCACCCTTTTTATGCAAACGATATTCTATTTTAATATAATCTAAATCATATACGGAGAGAAATTCGAGCTCGGGTGCAGGATATGGAGCACATCCACTTTAATCAACTTGACTAAACCCATATCTACTGATGTAAGAAAAGAAGGAAAAGAATGTACCCTTCTTTCTACCAAGGATGGAGACTAATTAGAGATTTCCAGGTTATAATTTTTACTTTTGCAATTCTGAAATAAAGTAGCATTAAAGTGAATTGGGCTGTCACAACCAAAACCAACCTCATTGATGTTGATTTTAGACTTGTTTTGCAGTTCTGAGTTCTGACCTCTCCGCAGCCTTACCCCATAAAATTAATCAAAAGACTGCCCTACTGATGAAAATGATGAACATTAAAGTTGAAGACCCATGATCATAACAACTTCTGAAAACAACCACTAGTATTAGTTTCATCATCTTCTTCAATGAATAACTTAAAGCTTATTTGAGCTCATGTCCTTTTGATTCCAACCCCTTCTGAAATCATATTCAACTCTTCTGAAAACAATATCTCCTTATTTTGCAGAACATTTACCTTTCACCTACAGCAACTGTTCCACTACTCTTGTGCATGACCCTCTCTTTATTAACTAAGCTTTCAAACAATGCACAAAGCCAGTTAAACTATACATCACAGCCTGGTTGTAAGCCCAAAGACAAATCAGTGATTACCCATATATTGATTATAGACTAATGCTCTCTTGTCAGATTATTAAAGTATGCTTTTTGTCTCTGAATGTGGTTTAGATTCACAGTCTAGCAAAATAAGTATCAATTTAGTAAGCAATAATGCCAGTATATGTGAGACCCATGTGTATTAGAGAGGTGATCAATAAAAGTAGTACAAATAAGCAATGCCCATTTAGCAAGAGAAAGCATTATTTGTTTTTTTTCAAAAAAGAGGTGCAAAGATGATGATGTTTGATTATGATCGTCAGTGCGGAGACAAATGCTATGTAGAGGTCTTACAAAGTCCCCATTATCACATTTGTTACGTCCATATTGCACATCATAGTAATTTCCATTGATAATTTTCCACTTTCACACACAATGGTCATGCTAGGGGGAATAGAATAAATCACTTGGAAGCCAACTTAAATCCAGATACATTGGTAATTTTTTCTCCCAAGAAATTCTAGCCGCTCTTTCCTTCTGTGAGTCCTAAAGGAAAACTTCAAAGAGGGGGAGGAGGAAGACGCGTCACTACCCCTCCTCCCCTCTCTTCTCGTCTTTTCCTTTTAGGTTAGTGAATAAGTCTATTGGGGCGTTTTGAATAAAAAACTCTTAGTTGTGATTTCTTCTAAGCTATGGTTAGATTGAAGTTCTCCATCACCCCTTTTAGTCTATAGTCTCAATCAAATCATGCTTCCAAAACCCTCTCCCTAATGCCGCTCACTCATGTTCTCTAAAGTTCATTCTACATTGTATTTGACAAAGGTTACTGCAAATAACCCAATTGTTCTTTGGCAATGTTGTTGTTTTCATTTATTTGTTCGTTTTTATGCACAAGTAGATTGCTGGAAATCATATTTTAGGGTCGTCTAAGCTCAAGAGTTGTTTTAGGGTTTTGGTTATGTTGGGGTTGTGAGTTTTGTTTGGGCTTCTAGTTAATTGTGCTGTTGTGGGCTAGTAGTTTTAGTGTGATTTTTGCCTGCGTTAGTTTTGCTTTCAGCATGTTAGTTTGTTGCCCCCTCCGGATTGATATTTTAGATGTCTTGTTGATGTCTTTAATTGTACTGTTGAAGTTTATCTAATAAAGTTTTTATTTGATAAAAGAAAAAATTCCAAATACATTGGTCTACCATCTAGTAGTGCGTGAAAGCTAACCCCAACCACAACCACAAGAAAATAGGTGAAGGGAAGCTAACCACAAAATCAAAAGGGGTACTATGTACCCTCTTCATTAATCACATAATGGTCCATGAACGAACGTTTTCCCAACTGCCAACCAACCCAAAGATTTAGACAGATTTGGCTCTTGATCATTGTATTTTTACATGGAGGTCATGATTCCATCCTATGAGTTCTTCATGGTTATAGCTAGGGACTAGGGTTCGTCCTTCCAATCACATGAGGCATGAGCAAAGAGCACACATGGTGTAGGCAAGGCTATACCCATGGTCGTGAATGAGTCGACAAGTTAGATGAAAAGGGAAAAATTTGATAGAAAATTCACTAAAGTCCAGAAGAGTTAAGTTAGAGAAGGCCTAACAGACTGACCCATTTAAATTGGGCCTTGTCAATCACTGCATACTAGTTAGAGGCCCTCCCAAAAGAATAAGAAACACAAAGATCCATAAATCATTTAACCATTTGTGTATGTTTTCTAGCACTGTAATGAGCGGTTATAATGGGGGTCCTTAATATCCATTCGTTTAATTTTAGAGTTATTATTGCACGAATGAATTCTTATTTTATTTTATTTTGCCAAAGTTAAGAAGGAGAAATGAGATTTTCTCACACACAAACTATTAAGACCCTTTTTCACTGAGCTGACTCCATCGACATTGCAATGCTGAATTGAATCCCTCAACATAACCCCTCATTATAAAGGCTCCGTTTTCTAGTGTAATAGGCCTTTGGCTACATATAGCTTGTTGCGTAAAAGAAGCAGACAAATGCATTGTTTGGGCCGCTTTGGCCCAATGTTATTGCCTGAGTTACCGCAGCGAGTTACTTTACTGCTGAGTAAATTATCACCACACCACATCACACGCATCCAAGTCGGACAGTAACATCAAAACCCTAAACCCTAAAAAACCAAAAAGCCCACATTAATAACAGCGCACATTTATAGATTCTCGCGCCTCCTCTCCCTATTCTCGCTGCCGCCTCATCCCCTTAGCCGTTTTGCTCACAACAACAATCGCAGAGATGGCACCTCCTCGAGGTAAAGAAAAATATGATTTATCTGTGGAGTCTGCTGAAAATACGTTTTATGCTTTTGGTTTGGTTCTTCTGAATGGGTTTTTTTTGTTGGGTAATTTGTTTTCAACAAAATATAAATAAAATTTCAGTTCTTTACTATGCAATCTTCATTTGGGTTCTTAGTTTCTGAGTTGTTTTACTTTTTTGAGTTTATGGTTGTTGTTGTTGGGAAGTTTCAGCAGCAGCCCTTATAGCTTTGTGGGTTTTGTGCAGGTCGTGGTGGTAGCGGTGGTGGATTCAGGGGCAGGGGTGATGGAGGGAGAGGTGGAAGAGGAGGAGGCAGGTTTGGTGGTGGTGGAAGAGGCGGTGACAGAGGTGGTAGTGCCTTTAAAAGCCGTGGCGGAGGACGTGGCGGTGATCGTGGCGGCCGTGGAGGAAGAGGCCGTGGTGGTGGAAGGGGAGGAATGAAGGGTGGAAACAAAGTAGTTGTCGAGCCTCACAGACATGAAGGGGTGTTCATTGCCAAGGGTAAAGAAGATGCTCTTGTAACCAAGAATATGGTGCCCGGGGAAGCTGTCTACAACGAGAAGAGGATATCTGTTCAGGTCGGTTTCTTTCGTTAGTTTTCTTATTTAAATGCCTTAAACACAATTGATTTTCAAAGCAATAGCTTTACGGATGACTTATTGGTTCCTGCTGTGTTTTGCAATTTTTATTTTCATGGTTGATGAATGTAATAAAAAATTTGAAGTTCACCTTAAAGTGCATTTTCTTCCTTTTCAGGATGAGGATGGAACAAAAGTTGAATATAGAATTTGGAACCCTTTCCGTTCTAAGTTGGCTGCTGCTATTCTCGGTGGTGTTGATGATATATGGATTGTAAGTTTTGATTCCAGGTTTTCCTCCATTCTGTTTTGTCTATTATCCATGATTTTGAGTTTACAATCTCTCTGTTTCTGTATGTCGATGAAGAAACCTGGTGCTCGTGTTCTCTACCTTGGTGCTGCTTCTGGCACCACAGTGTCTCATGTGTCTGACATTGTTGGCCCTGTAAGTGTTATTTTTAATCCTTCAGTTCTTAAATTGGTTAAGCTGATAATAGATTCTTATAACTGCTGTGGTTTTTGTAGACTGGAGTTGTTTATGCAGTGGAGTTTTCTCATAGAAGTGGCAGAGACTTGGTAAACATGGCAAAGAAGCGCACGAATGTTATACCCATTATTGAAGATGCCAGACATCCAGCTAAATATCGTATGCTTGTTGGCATGGTTGATGTGATATTTTCTGATGTTGCACAACCTGATCAGGTTTGTTTCTTGCAATTCTTGTCTTTGCTAGTAGCTAACTTTAAATATGGAGAGACTCGGGATGGTATTCTTTGGTTGAGCTGGTGGCAGAGCCTTTTCTTGAGGCTTTTGAAAGTTCAAGGATTTCCATACTTCATGTGGGTTTGTTCTTTTAGCTTATTGATTTACTAATTCATATCACCTGTGTTGCATTTGTTATTATCTGAGTTGGTTTTTTATGTTTTTGACAAAGCATAATTGTTTTGTGTTTTCTTTCACGCATGTGATGAGTTAACTCGGATTCCCCTTCAGGATGTCATGTATGATGTGAGCTCGAGTTTTCTGATGCGTAATGCGTTTGTCTTTTGAAATGCCCTTTCTGTTTGTGTCTTTTTCATCGGCTCAGTGTATTAAGACAACCTTTTTTCATGCTTATTCCTTTTTTGCTTACAAGGCTTTGTATGTACTTGTTCTACCCATAGATACTTGTTCTACCCATTCTTGTCATGGCTCAATGCAATGAGTCATGCATTTATTTATTTATTTCTTTATGTCCCTTAAATGTATTTGTAGAAGTTGTGTTTACTACTATATTGAGCATGTGACGAAGTACTCGGATTCCCCTTCAAGACATAATGGGTGATGTAAGTCGAGTTTCTGATGCTCCTGATGTCAAGTAGTTGATTTTGTGGTGTTGCTTGCCTTATCACTCTCTCTCTCTCTCTCTCTCTCTCTCTCTTGTTTTTCTGGTAGCCTGCACGTCAATGTTATGATGGTGTTGGCAAGGCACTCGGGGTTGAGGCCTTAGGCTTGGCCACAATCTCTTGCCACCGGTTTCTCCTAGCTCACTTAAGTTATTTGCATCTAAAAATTGTTTGCTCTCTTTAATGATTTTGCAGGCTAGGATTGTAGCATTGAATGCGTCGTATTTTCTCAAGGCTGGAGGTCACTTCGTTATCTCAATTAAGGTTTGCTTTCAAAATTCTCAGTAGTCTTTGTCATAAGACATGACGTCCCTTAGCCTATTATATTCGTTTAAGTCAAGCTAGACGGTGGAAAGTTACCACTCGCTGCATAGTCCAGTGTTTGATAAATGTAGTTTGTCATTTCAGGCGAATTGCATTGATTCAACCTCGCCTGCGGAAGCAGTGTTCCAACAGGAGGTGAAGAGGCTGCAGGCAGATCAGTTTAAGCCTATGGAACAAGTCACTCTTGAACCTTTCGAGCGCGACCATGCTTGTGTTGTTGGTGGCTATCGTGTACCAAAGAAGTCAAAAACTGCTGCTTAGAATTGTTGGCCATGTATATTATGATCACCCATGAGCAGCATGGCTTGATAAGTTATCCTTTCTAGTTTTAACTACTTACTAGGAGTTGCCTTTTATGTAGTTCTGAACACATGATCAATGTTTGAGACAATTTTGCGTTTTATAAAATGGTTTTGTTTCATGATTTGGTGGAATGCAAAATTTGTTGTATTAATGCTGCATTAGAATGCTCGCCAATTTTTTCTGTATTATGTTTCCGTTGTGCACTAGGGTTTTGTGCGCATAATGGTCATATTTTGGCTGAAAGCAATTAAAACAAATTGACAACATTGATGATGAAAGAGAACCCTGAAAAGGGGAAATCAGATAAACCGGTTGAATGAAATTGACAGGTAAATTATGTACCACTGGTCGGCAGGTAAACTCTCCTGCCGGGAACAAATCATGTTGGTTTAAAATTGTGTCAACACAAAAATAGGAAGAGCACCCTGCAACTCTAAAACATGACTTCCAGTTCCAGAGAAATTCAGGCCAATATAAGCAGGGAGATTTTAGGTACTCAGGACTATCTAGTCTGAGGAGAAACATGATATGAATTTCTTTTAGGATCAAGTTCATATACTGTTAGCTATCTTCTCATCTTCAACGTCTCTCCCACTTCTTCATTCACTCCGAAGATTGTTCAACCTGCCAAGAAAAAAAGTTACGATTATTGCCTTTCACAGAGAATGCTGAAGACCTTATCCATTTTTATAGCAGTTTTAACTTACCTCCTTGTTCCAGAGGGTTCTATGAAGCACTATCAAAAGAAGCAACGTTTGAAGAGCAGTTCCACATACCATGCCTCCACAAATTCCCTACAACAATGAACAAATGTTGGTAATAAAACTGGCTGGACAATACAAAGATTAGAGACCGTGAAGATGAAAGAATCTCACAAAATTTAGCTGTGGAACTGAGACTGAAATGTTTTACCTTCACTCCCAAGTTTGCTTTATAACCAAGAAGGAACCCAAGTGGGAGGCCAAAAATGTAATAACCAACAACCCAAGTTGATCTAAGCCACCAGTCCTTGCCATCCACCTCCAATAGCAACACCTGAAATCATGAATCCAGTAAAAATTAAAAGGGGAAGGGTCCTGCATACAGAGAGGGAACTGAGGAAAGAACCATGGTAATTCCAAGAAGAAATATGCTAGCTTTGCAGCAGCTTGTTGCAATTCCTTGCTTGCGAATATGACAGAAAAGTAGTCTTGGGTTATCAAGACGACAATCATGCAAACCATTCCAATGGCCAGAGACTCAAGGACTGTCGCATAGAAGGTGTATTTAGCTGCTCTTGGACGTCCCAATCCAAGTTCATATAAATAAACTAATAAATTAGTAAACAGAAAATGTCAAGTTGATGTAGTCCTTTTTGTGAATGTTTGCATGGATGTTTGGCTAATAAGGTTAATAATTTAACGTAGGAGGACACGAATGTTTGAATGCTTGATTAAAAACTTCTGTTACAAAAAAAATAAATGGCACACGCGTACTCATATAGTATAATATCTTTAAAATAGATAACAAGAATTAACAATCATGAAATTATCAACTATACTTTCTCAAAACTTGCTTAACAAGTCTTGTTATTTGCTCAAAAAACTAATTAGAAAGGCTCCATAGCCAGAAGATCAGTAATGCCAGCCGCGATACATTGGGAAGACGATGAACCTCATCAGTCCTTCATTACAATGATGGCCATCGTGCTCGCCACAAGCGAAGTAGTAAGGCTTCCACTTCTTGAGCACAAACTCAAAGCCTTCTCCTCCTCCTTGTGTCTGATTTCCAACCATCCTAGCTTGGCTTAAGTCACAATTCATGAAGCTCCAAGGGTTTTGAAACAAATACACGCTGTGAGGACGTGTGGTGTCATTTGGGGGATCATACTTGAAAACTGCAAGTTCATCATGGAAAAGGGTTGCTTATAGTGAGGCAAATTGAGTAAAAAAGTTATTATAATTATAACAAATATAAGCGAGGGAACTTTCTGTTGCTAGACATGTTATGTTATCAGATTGTCAATATCCTTAGTAAGCTAAAGATGAAAACTCACCTAGAGTATCCTTGATGTAAAATGGGCCATTTTGCAAAGCCCACTGTTTGTAGTTAAATCCGTAATGCCAGTTTTCTGACCCACCAACTGTGATTTTGTTGGGTCCTTTGGTCTCGTTGAGGTGATATGAGCCATGGTTGAAACCCCAACCAGTGTAGTTGCCATATTTCCAATCCTTGTTGGCTGAGCCAACTGCCAGCATTGAAGCAATTAGCACCATTGCTAGGGCTTGTGCAAAATAATGGGAACCCATCATTCACTTCCAAATGCAACTCAAGGAGAAGGAAGAGAGAGGGAAATTAAGAGGGTTGAGAGGAGGAGACTTAAGAATGAGATTATTGTGAATTCAAATGTTGGCGCTGGGTTCTTATGTAGGCAGATTGAGTGGTGCAAAACGGCCTAATGACCCCTTTTCAAAATTGGCGGGTAAGACTAAGAAAACATGGTGTTAATTTGTAATGCTTCTTATTAAGTTCAAGTCTCCCTAAGTCAGTCCTCCACTTGCCCCTCTCAAACCTCAATTTCATTCCCTTTTAATAAACAATTCTTTTGATTCAAGTGAAGAAGAATGTAAGAATTAAACTCCATTCAACGAATGTAGAGAGATGAAAGTATCATTTGAATTATAAGTCATTACTTTCAACAAATTGTTACATTGTAAGTTTTAACACATATTGCAAAATTTGAAGGGAAAAAAAACAAAATGCAAAATCCTAAAAAAGGTACTGCAAATTGACTTCCCTAAGAGTGACTCAAACTATTGCAGATGTGGTTAGAAGGTTAGCAAATTTTACTGTACCTCTTCTTCATGGAAAATATACCATACCCAAAAGTACACTTACATTTGAAACATACATTAGAGAGGCTCTAATGAATTTTAATTAACAGTATAAAAACAAATATCCAGCAATTTCGTTGAAATGATATGAAGAAAAATGTAGCAAAACAAAATTTCTAAAAATGAATGAGATAGGTGAATGATAGTGGAGACATGAGTTAGGTTAGTTGGCTAAGGCGGTATGTTCGTTCGTTTGCATATGAGTCTGATCTCCTCTTCATATATTAAAATAATTTAAAATAATTCTTGATAAAATAAAATATTAATTTGTTGAAATAAACGATATGTTCGTTCGTTTGCATCTGAGTATGATCTCCTCTTCGTATATTAAAATAATCTAAAATATTGCTTGATAAAATAAAATATTAATTTGTTGGCCTGGATTGAGATCATCATACATGTTCAAAACTTGACAGAGCATACATGTTCGAATAGATGCTTCAAGTTGGCACGGCATAGCACTTTTTTATTATATCAATTTGTTGAAATGTAGATATGAGTTAGGTTAGTTGACTAAGGCGGCATGTTCGTTCGTTTGCATATGAGTATGATATCCTTTTCGTATATTAAAATAATTTAAAATAAAATAAAATAATAATTTTTTGAAATAAGTGGCATGTTCGTTTATTTGCATCTGTGTCCAATCTCCTCTCTGTATGTTAAAATAATCTAAAATATTGCTTGATAAAATAAAATATTAATTTGTTGTCCTGGACTAAGATCACCATACATGTTCAAAACTTGACATAGCATACATGTTCAAACTGATGCTTCAACTTGGGATGGCATAGCACTTTTTTATTATATCAATTTGTTGAAATGTATATGAGTTAGGTCAATTGGATAAGGGGGTATGTTCGTTCGTTTGCATAAAAGTTTGATATCTTCTTCGTATATTAAAATAATTTAAAATATTTCTTAATAAAATAAAATATTAATTTGTTGAAATAAGCGGTATGTTCGTTCGTTTGCATTAGAGTCCGATCTCCTCTCTGTACATTAAAATAATCTAAAATATTGCTTGATAAAATAAAATATTAATTTGTTGAATTAGAGAAATATTATATTTATAAGCACCTGGACTGGAACAATATAAAGGACGAAAAGGAGTCTCTCATGAGTTGTGTGGAAGTTTTGGGTTTGAATTGAGGCATATGGGCATGCTTTAGGTTAATTTGGCGACCATACATAGGCAGGTATAACCGTATAGCTATCAAAGCTTTGGGTACCATTAATACAGATATTTTCATACCTAAGCAACTGTTGCCCCTTCACATACGTCGCAAATTGTAAACCCATGACCTTCACAATATGGACATTTTGCTCCCTCTTCCACCCAATCCAAGAACTGCTGTCATTTAACAAAATAATTAAAACTTCATCCTGGATGGATAATGCTCGAAAATGAGAATATTAATATCTCTGTTTGAAAACTCTAATGTTTGGCTTGCCTGTTTCCATCACATTCTGCATCAAAGAAATACAGATAAACTCTAACCTGGGACTAAGGATAGTTGAAACAAAATATGCAGAAGTACAAAAATAAAACTAATGCATATCATCATCAAAGTCATTGGTGTTCAACATTATATTTAAAATCAGATCAAACAAAATAAATATACAAATACATAGTATGGGTGGATTTAGAGTACTTCTGCAAAAGTTTAGCGTAGCAAGGCAATGGTTTATAAACTTGAATATAGTGACTAAGACGGGAGACAAACAGGAGGTACCTGTGCACAATAAGCGACCCTCCCCTCAACAAGTAAGACACCTTGTTGTGGTATTCATTGTCTTGCTTTCACCTCCTTTTTTTTGGTTCCTGCTAAGTTTAGAAGAATCTTCCCAGCGGTTCTCTCCAAGGAGAAAAACATGATGCTCAGATACCTCTACTTCTATAACACCTTCTTTCACAAGTGTTTGCTGGACCTGTGAAATTTCTGTTGCAGAAGTAACTACAGCTTCATTTGTATCTTCCTAAACAACAGAACCCATGCAACCATAGAAGAATTACGATGTTTCAGCCTATGTAGTGGTTCGCTATAGCTTATACGAACATGATCAGGTTGCTAGCTCAAGGCCAACCAGGAGAACAAAATCAGTTTACCAATATATATAATCAGCTTCATTTATTAGTATCGAAAATAAGTTACGGTGTGTTACCAGTTACCACAGCACATTACGTCACTGTCATGTCGTATTTATTTGCATGTTAAGTGATTGTCTCATGAACTAGAACCAAGAAACCTCATGTCTGAGTTACTGAAAATAGAGTCGGAGCTTCAGGTCCGTTTCTCAATTAAGTAACAGCGCTTCTTGGTTGGTACTTAGTACTGTTTGCTACAATTCTTTACAATTTGGTTGAAGAAAATGAAGACTTAGTTCACTTCAAATTGAACCATCAAATGAGTTTTTGGCTCCCCTTGAGGAATGCAAGTAATGACTTACCAAACCATTATGTTCAGTTCCAAGTGAGGAATGATATATTGGTACTGAAACTTAAAACATCAACGGCTTCCACTTAATAAAGGCTAATGGTATGTTGTCAGAAGGCTATACCTTTTGTGTAGCAGTCAGAGTACTCCCTTTGTTATCCAGACCCTCAATTTGTGCCACCGTATATAATTGTTCAAGAAGTTCTGCAGTCATTATGCCATCTTGAGGGGCGTCTAAGGAGGCCTGTCAAACAAGATATTACAAGTTGACTAAGATATATATGAAATTTTTGTTCTACTTGATGATTCTGAAATTTTACTCTTCATGCATTATACATAGTAACATCTAATGGTAATTGAAACTTACTTGCCAAGTCTTGACAGCACGTTGGGTCCCGCTCGAGAAGCTGGAAGACTCCATGTCTTCCTCACCCGAGTAAAATCCTAGTTTTTGCAATGCTTCCCGTCAAATAACAAGTCGAAATCACAAATATTACATCCAAAAATTACAGAAAAAGAAACCCAGGTACAGAAAAAGAAAAGAAACAAAAGTTAACAACTTTCTGTACTAAAAAGAAAGTTAATACCCCCTTGTAAGTTGTAATAAACTGTATGCTGCTCAGTTTTCAATTTTCCAAATTTAAAAGTATCATAAACAAAACACAAGAAATGAACCATAGACTCCGAAAAATCAAAACTCGTCTGTCGAAAGCAAGCAGACCTGCATAGCTCGGACCTCTTCACCTCCCGACACCTTCCTCAAAGCATTTCTGCTCTTCTTCTTCTCCTTCACTTCCGGAACGGCAGTCACCTCCTCAATCTCCTCCGGAATATGGTCCAATTTTATGGCTCTGGAACTCGACCCTGTCTCCGCTATTAGATTTTTCTTCGTTAAAATCTGCAACAAGCTGGCGATGTTTGGCTAGGAGGGCGCTAGGCGGCTAGGCGGGCCCTAGGGTGCTAGGCGGCTAGGAAGAGGCTAGAAGGAGGCTAGGCGGGCGCTAGGCGGCTAGGCGGATGCTAGGCGGGCGCTAGGCGGCTAGACGGGGGCTAGGCGGCTGGGCGGCCCTCCTAGGCGGGTTGGGTCTTTTTCCAGTGCCGAACCCGTAGGACGAAGCTGCCGAAACCGAAGAAAACCAATCGAAGCTTGAGTTTGATAGAGAAGCGAAATGGCTGACTGCAAGTGTAAGCTTCGTGTTAATATTTAAAGAGTTTGGCCGGTCGGCTAGACTCTTAAAATATTCGAATATATTACTATTTAAAGAGTCTAGCCGACCGACTAAACTTTTAAAATATTCGAATGTATTTAGAAAGTATAGCCGTTCGGCTATACCCTTTAAATATACATTTTTGTCATATCATTTTAGGGTTTAGGGCTAAAATACCACTTTAGCCCTTTGGGCTAGAGTTATTTCTTCAATTATTTTATTTATACAAGCGATATTGGGGAATGAAAATTTAAATTCTTTCTGATACCTCTCATTCTAATGATTTCCAGCTATTAGGAAAGAATAAAAAAATGGATTTTATTTATAACATATAATACCGGTTAAACCCATAAATATAACAACAACAAATAGGGATCCGCCAACATTTTGGATCAAATAATGTTGAATTTCATAGTATAAAATTACTTGTATGGGAATTTACTTTTTAAAATGTATCAATCATAATTATGAACTGAACCCAATTACAGACTTTTTTTCTCATTGCACTTGACAACCCTTCTCTTCTGCTATGAGATATATCAGTCTGCGATGTATTCTATGTAGATGAAAATTGGATACAAAACAGTCTAACAAGACAATGAAGAGAAGTTTGTAACTTTATTTTGAAATAAATTGAAGGTAACATAAATCATATTACATTGATATACGAACCATTCTAAATGAGAATTCAAACAACATGTGTTAGATGAGAATTAGCATCTCATCCTTGAGATAACAATCTCAAGGAAACAACATGGTTTATAAATCTTGAAGCAAAGATTAGGAATTTATAGGAGGAGAAGAAAAAACTCTAAGAGCATGCTTGCTTGAAAATTGGCAACCCCTCATGTTTTTCAATGAACCGCCTTTTAGGACTTTCTTCAAATCATTTATGCAACAAATCACTTGAATTCAAATTTGAATTAATTGGTTTTAATTTTAGTGTTTTCTTGAAACACATTGTTCTTATTTTATTGGTCACAGTTAGATGTTTTAATAATTTTTAATTTGTCTAATTTTTTTCTCCAAAAATAACATATGAGTTCCGATCGTTGAAATAAATTTTGTAGTGGAATTAGATAGTTAATGACGTGGACCTATTATCATCCTTACGAGTTGATATAGTCCGACAGTATTGTTCTTATTTTAAATGTTTTGGTATTGTGCTTTCATGTTATTTGACAACATGAGTGAGTATTTTGATTCTGATTCTGTTGAATTTTTGCAATATGAGTAAGGACTGTTTATAAATATTAAGGAGCTCTGCATTAAAGTTAAACCACTAAGTGGTTATAAAGTGGACCATTCATATATCATGAATGATATACTTCATATAGTTTAGCACTTTTGATATATGCGAACATAACCATGACTTTTTGGTACCTTATGTGGATATTGTTGCCTATGGTGATTGTAGGTGGATGATACCATATCATTTGGAATCATGTCTACAATCATATGAGTTGATGAAATTTGATTCATTGTTTGATATAGATATCCTTATCAAATGAGCTTCCCAAACTATGCACATAAGGAATCGATTCTCAGGCAATAAGGAAGTGTTTTAAATAGATGTTGCACTCAAGTGGGAGAATGTAAGACCCTTACTGAGTTTGCATTTATTTATGGCACATAATCTGTTAAGGAATAAAAGTGGAAAGTTTTTATTTGATTAGTTGAATACTTGGAGATGAAGAAAGAATAAAATAAAAGGAGATATCTATCCTATTATGTCGTGGATTCTAGAGGTGATTAAGGCATGATTTAGGTGACCTTTTATGGGCAAGAAACCCAGGTCAAATCACCTATAAAAACAAGGTTTAGGTCCCCAATCTTATACACATTCAAGCATACAAGTCATACCCCATATTAGGAGTGCATAAGGCTTGTAGAAAGATTGGAAGACCTTTGCTTACTGCTCAAGATCTCTTCTATCCAGTTCTCATGGCTTCTCAAGGTTTGTACTTAAAGCTTGTTTGATCTTAAATTCTTACATGAAAAGCAGTCCAACCAAGAAGAACCATCAATGGATGAATATTGAATGCATAAAGATTATCAAGCTTCAAACAAGAAGAACCAAACCAATCAATCTGTTGCTTAACCAAACCAGAAATAAATAATCAATGGATGAATGTTGAATGCATAAAGATTTATCAAGCTTCAAACAAGAAGAACCAAACCATTCAATCTGTTGCTTAACCAAACTAGAAATAAATAGTCAGAATTTGAGATTGGGGCCTAAAAACCGAACCTTGTTATTGGCAAGACCATAGAAACTCCATGATAGGATTCATCATTTTCCTTTCACTAAAGACAGACACCAAGTCAGCAAATTTTGTATTTTTTTTTCTTCTGAGCCATGTCGTCAATGCAAAGAGAGAAGAGAATTAGGTAGAGTTAGCAGAGGGTAGAATTGTTGTCGTTGTCGTTGGAGTGGTGAGGCGAACATGTCGTTTGGGGGAGAGCCAAGAGAGAAGAGAATAAGGTGGGAAACAAGGAGAGGAATGGAATTAGATGAATTAAGAGTCTCATGATCTCTTCTTCTATGGACCTGACTTGTGCTTCACGGAATTGGATGCCAAATCTCAAGCTCAAATTTGCAGCTAAATTTTTTCAATTTCGGGTTTCAGACTTGCAGCCAATCGCAGTGTTTGAAAAATCGGCCTAGGCGAGCGGCTAGGCGGTTGCCAGGAGGGCGCAAGGACTCAGAGGACAGAAGGCTCTGCCTAGGCAGACATTGAGAAAGCCCAATCCAATGGAATCAATGCAGCTGCCAAAACCCAAAAAAATAATAATAATAATAATCGAAGCTTGAGTTGAGAGAGAGGCTCAAGACCGAGTCTTCGAAGCTTGGAAGTGCTTATAGACAAGCGAAATGGCTGACTGCGAGTGCAACTTCGTGTTCGTTTATTTGTCCCTTCATTTCACTCGTGCACCACATTCCTCTGCGAGTGCAAGCTTCGTGGTCTTGAGGAATATATTTAAAGAGTATAGCCGTCCGGCTATACTTTTAAAACAATTTTGTCTTATTATTTAAAGGTTTAGGGCTACAATACCATTTTAGCCTACTGGGCTAGAGTTATTTCTTCAATTATTTTATTTATACAAGCGATATTAGTGCTCAAAATGCTCGAATAGATTATTCTTTTTTATATAATTTTTTAAGAATTCCTAGAATACCATATAAAGAAATGATAATATATATAACAGTTAAATGTTAAATCTCTCGGTTTATTATTTGCATTAACACGTCCTATCGAGTAATGGTTAACTTAACTTACTTCATGCTGGATTTGGTTTTCATCTTATTAAGGTAAAAATTGTTACCCCAGCCAACAATCACAGAGAGATGGGAAAAGAGCTCAGTAACTCCATGCCAAAAATTGTTAACCCTTGGCCTTGCTTTGCCTTCCATTACACGAGGAGATAGTGTGTATTCATAACAATTGGTCTCTTTAATTTCCAAGTACAACGTCAACTTGTTTTTTTTTAAATTAATTTTTTTATATAGTACTAGCAATAGTCTAAAGGGGAGAGAGATTTCTCACACACAACTGTGATGTCATGGTTCGAACATGAGACCTCTGATTTGCAAGTCATTGCCCTTTTCCACTGAGCTAGACTCCGTTGACTTATATAATAAACAGTAAATGTACATTTGATTTTCGGCATTTGTTTATAAATGCAAACTACCATTAAACACATGTACTAAGCATAAAACTGCACATGTCTTTATGGGAAGATATTTTCATACCTAAGCTACTGTTGCCCCTTCACATACGTCGCAAATTGTAAACCCATGACCTTCACAATATGGACATTTTGCTCCTTCTTCCACCCAATCCAAGAACTGCTGTCATTTAACAAAATAATTAAAACTTCATCCTGGATGGATAATGCTCGAAAATGAGAATATTAATATCTCTGTTTGAAACCTCTAACCTGTTCTTCAATGTTTGGCTCGCCTGTTCCATCACATTCTGCAACAAAGAAATAAAGATAAGCTGAAACAAAATATGCAAAAGTACAAAAATAAAACTAATGCATATCATCATCAAAGTCATTGGTGTTCAACATTATACTTAAAAATCAGATCAAACAAAATAAATACACAAATACATAGGATGGGTGGATTTAGAGTACTTCTGCAAAAGTTTAGCGTAGCAAGGCAATGGTTTATAAACTTGAATATAGTGACTAAGACGGGAGACAGACAGGAGGTACCTGTGCACAATAAGCGACCCTCCCCTCGACAAGTAAAACACCTTGTTGTGGTATTCATTGTCTTGCTTTCACCTCCTTTTTTTTGGTTCCTGCTAAGTTTAGAAGAATCTTCCCAGCGGTTCTCTCCAAGGAGAAAAACACGATGCTCAGATATCTCTACTTCTGTAACACCTTCTTTCACAAGTGTTTGCTGGACCTCTGAAATTTCTGTTGCAGAAGTAACTGCAGATCCATTTGTATCTTCCTAAACAACAGAACCCACGCAACCATTAGAAGAATTACGATGTTTCAGCCTATGTAGTGGTTCGCTATAGCTCATACGAACATGATCAGGTTGCTAGCTCAAGGCCAACCAGGAGAACAAAATCAGTTTACCAATATAATCAGCTTCATTTATTAGTATCCAAAATAAGTTACGGTGTGTTACCAGTTACCACAGCACATTACGTCACTGTCATATCGTATTAATTTGCATGTTGAGTGATTGTCTCATGAACTGGAACCAAGAAACCTCATGTCTGAGTTACTGAAAATAGAGTCGGAGCTTCAGGTCCGTTTCTCAATTAAGTAACAGAGCTTCTTGGTTGGTACTTAGTACTGTTTGCTACAATTCTTTACAATCTGGTTGAAGAAAATGAAGGCTTAGTTCACTTCAAATTGAACCATCAAATGAGTTTTTGGCTCCTCTTGAGGAATGCAAGTAATGACTTACCAAACCATTATGTTCAGTTGTAAGTGAGGAATGATATATTGGCACTGAAACTTAAAATATCAACGGCTTCCACTTAATAAAGGCTAATGGTATGTCGTCAGAAGGCTATACCTCTGTTATCCAGACCCTAAATTTGTGCCACTGTATATAATTGTTCAATAAGTTCTGCAGTCATTATGCCATCTTGAGGGGCATCTTAGGAGGTCTGTCAAACAAGATATTAAAAGTTGACTAACATATATATTTCGCGTTGTGAAATTTTTGTTCAAAAATTTTACTCTTCATGCATTATACATAGTAACATCTAATGATAATTGAAACTTACTTGCCAAGTCTTCACAGCACGTTTGGTCCCGCTTGAGAAGCTGGAAAACTCCATGTCTTACTCACCCGAGTAAAATCCTAGTTTTTGCAATGCTTCCTGTCAAATAACATTATGTTGGAACAAGTCGAAATCACAAATATTACATCCAAAAACGAAGCGAACACTAGAAAATGAGAGAACCCAGTTACAGAAAAAGAAAAGAAACAAAAGTTAACAACTTTCTATACTAAAAAGAAAAGAACAACAGTTAACAACTTTCAATTTGCCAAATTTAAAGTTAATACCCCCTTGTAAACTGTATGCTGCTCAGTTTTCAATTAGCCAAATTTAAAAGTGCCATTTTATAATTCAAAGACAACACTAAATCATAAACAAAACACAAGAAATGAATGAGACTCCGAAAAATCAAAACTCGCCTTTCAAAAGCAAGCAGACCTGCATAGCTCGGACCTCTTCACCTCCCGACCCCTTCCTCAAAGCATTTCTGCTCTTCTTCTTCTCCTTCACTTCTGGAACGGCAGACACCTCCTCAATCTCCTCCTGAATATGGTCTAATTCTACGGCTCTGGAACTCGACCCTGTCTCCGCTATCAGATTTTTCTCCGTCAAAATCTGCAACAAGCCGGCGATGTTGGACAAGGCGAGCTCTAGGCTGCTAGGCGGGGCCAAGGCGGGCGCTAGGACGCTAGGCGGGGGCTAGGCGGGCGCTAGGCGGCTAGGAAGAGGCTAGGCGGGTGCTAGGCGGCTAGGCGGATGCTAGGCGGGCGCTAGGCGGCTAGGCGGGGGCTAGGCGGCTGGGCGGCCCTCCTAGGCGGGTTGGGTCTTTTTTCGGTGCCGAACCCGTAGGATGAAGCAGCCGAAACCGAAGATAACCAATCGAAGCTTGAGTTTGATAGAGAAGCGAAATGGCTGACTGCGAGTGCGAGCTTCCTGTTAACATTTAAAACGTATAGCCGTGCGGCTGTACCCTTAAAATATTCGAATATATTACTATTTAAAGAATATAGCCGTCCGGCTATACGTTTAAAATATTCGAATGTATTTAGAGAGTATAGCCGTGCGGCTATACCCTTTAAATATACATTTTTGTTATATCATATTAGGGTTTAGGGCTAAAATACCAATTTAGCCCTTTGGGCTAGAGTTATTTCTTAATTATTTTATTTATACAAGTGATATTGGAGAATGAAAATTTAAATTCTTTCTGATACCTCTCATTCTAATGATTTCCAACTATTAGCCCATTGGGAAAGAATAAAAAAATGAATTTTATGTATAACAAATAATACAGCTTAAACCCATAAATACAACAACAAAAAATAGGGATCCGCCAACATTTTTTGGATGAAATAATGTTGAATTTCATAGTATAAAATTACTTGTATAGGAATTTACTTTTTAAAATGTATCCATCATAATTATGATGAAAAATTGGATACAAAACAGTCTAACGAGACAACGAAGAGAAGTTTACAGCTCTGTTTTCAAAATAAATGGAAGGTAACATAAATCATATGACATTGATATACGAACCATTATAAATGAGAATTCAAACAACATGTGTTAGATGAGAATTAGCATCTCATTCTTAACTCGGCTATAATGATGACAAAGCCCTAAAATATATGCATGACGGTTGTTGCTCATATCTACATATACACCCCTAAACAAAGCTACAAAAATATAGGAAGTATCAAATAGTTGACTTAAAGGAAGAGAAAACAATCTCAAGGAAACAACATGGTTTATAAATCTTGAAGCAAAGATTAGGAATTTATAGGGGTAGAAGAAGAAACTATAAGAGCATACTTGTTTGAAAATTGGCAACCCCTCATGTTTTTCAATGAACCATATTTTAAGACTTTCTTCAAATAATTATGCGAGAAATCACTTGAATTCAAATTTGACTTAAATGGTTCTAATTTTAGTGTTTTCTTGAAACACATTGGTCTTATTTTGTTGGTCACAATTAGAAGTCAGGATGATTTTTAATTTGTCTAATTTTTTTCTTCAAAAATAATGTATGAGTTCTGATCATCGAAATAAATTTTGTAGTGAAATTAGAAAGTTAATGACGTGGACCTATTATCATCCTTACAAGTTGATGTAGTCCAATAGTATTGTGGATACGGAGTCCTTGTTGTGAATATTTCCATTCCATGTATGTTTTCCTATAAGGTTAATAAAAGTAGGAAGAGAACAAAACAAAAAAAAAAAAAAAAAAATAAAAAAAAAAGACAATGAATTTTTGATTGCTTATTTATAAATTCTGTTACAAAAAACAGGACACGTACCGTATAATGTATTATATCTTACACTACTTAACAAGAGTTAATAATTATGAAATTATCAACTATACTCTCTCAAAACTTACACACCAAGTCTTGTTATTTGCTCAAAAAGTAATTAATAATAATGGAAATTTGAAAGGCTCCATTGCCAGATGATCAGTAATGCCAGCCGCGAAACATTGGGAAGACGACGAACCTCATCAGCCCGTCCTTACAATGGAGGCCGTTGTGCTCGCCGCAAGCGAAGTAGTAAGGCTGCCACCTCTTGAGCACAAACTCAAAGCCTTCTCCGCCTCCTTGTGTCGGTTTTCCCACCATCTTGGCTTGGCTTAAATCACACTTCATGAAGCTCCAAGGGTTTTGGAACAAGTACACGCTATGAGGACGTGTGGTGTCATTTGGTGGATCATACTTGAAAACTGCATGTTCATCATTGAAAAAGGGTTGCTTATAGTGAAGCAAATTGCACAGTAGAATAAACGTAATTATGACAAATGTAACTAAGGGAACTTTCTATTGCTTGATAATTTCACGTGTTATGTTGTGTTATCAGGTTGTCAATATAGGTAGAAGACAACATTTCATATGTATAATTAGAGCATGCAGCATGCTAGTGAACTTAAACATCCTTGAACAGAAGCAAGCTTTTTACTTGCCCCAAAAAGGCTCAAGGAAGCTAAAGATGAACAAAAAGTTGCGAACTCACCTAGAGTGTCATTGATGTAAAATGGGCCATTCTTCCAAGCCCATTGTTTATAGTCAAATCCGTAATGCCAGTTTTCTGACCCACCAACAATGATTTTGTTGGGTCCTTTGGTCTCGTTGAGGCCATGGTTGAAACCCCAACCCGTGTAGTTGCCATGTTGCCAATCCTTGTTGGTTGAGCCAACTGCCAGCATTGAAGCAATTAGCATTAGCACCATAGCCAGGGCTTGTGCAAAATAATGGGAACCCATCATTCACTTCCAAATGCAACTCAAGGAGAAGGAAGAGAGAAGGAAATTAAGAGGGTTGAGAGGAGGAGACTTAAGAATGAGATTATTGTGAATTCAAATGTTGGCGCTGGGTTCTTATGTAGGCAGATTGAGTGGTGCAAAACGGCCTAATGACCCCTTTTCAAAATTGGCGGGTAAGACGAAGAAAACGTGATGTTAATTTGTAATGCTTCTTATTAAGTTCAAGTCTCCCTAAGTCAGTCCTCCACTTGCCCCTCTCAAACCTCAATTTCATTCCCTTTTAATAAACAATTCTTTTGATTCAAGGGAAGAAGAATGTAAGAATTCAACTCTATTCAACGAATGTAGAGAGATGAAAGTATCATTTGAATTATAGGTCATTACTTTCAACAAATTGTTACGTTGTAAGTTGTAACACATATTGCAAAATTTTAAGGTGGAAAAATAAACAAAATGCAAAATTCTAAAAGAGGTATCGCAAATTGACTTCCCTAAGAGTAACTCCAACTATTGCAGATGTGGTTAGAAAGGTTAGCAAATTTTACCGTACCTCTTCTTCACGGAAAATATACAATACCCAAAAGTACACTTTTGCTTTGTACATTTGAAACATGCATTAGAGAGGCTCCAATGAAGTTTAATTAACAGTATAAAAACAAATAACCAGCAATTTCGTTGAAATGATATGAAGAAAAATGTAGCAAAACAAAATTTCTAAAAATGAATGAGATAGGTGAATGATAGTGGAGGGAATTTTCTCCATCAAATCTAGAGGGAGTCAACCAAATGCAAATGGGCTATCCTTTTTTACTATTTCTTTTTAGCATAAAAGTTTATTTAAATATGTTTTTAATGTGAAATGGAAAATTAGGCATTGTTAACCGAACTAGATATTGGGGAAAACGAGTAAAAGTCGGCCTAAGAAGTTAGAAAAATATGTATTGGATTTAGGGAAAAACTTTGCCATACAATTGTGTGACATGACGATAACATATAGAAATAAATAACCATTGTGGAAGATTCTTGCTAGCTAACCATGTTCAAGACTTTGCAAATTTGGACTGAGATCATCATACTGTTCAAATACATGTTCGGACAGATGCTTCAACTTGGCACGGCATAACACTTTTTTATTATATCAATTTGTTGAAATATAGATATAAGTTAGGTTAGTTGGCTAAGGCGGATGTTCGATCTCCTCTTCATATTTTAAAATAATTTAAAATATTTCTTGATAAAATAAAATATTAATTTGTTGAAATAAACGATATGTTCGTTCGTTTGCATCTGAGTCCGATCAACCCTTCGTATATTAAATATTAAAATAATCTAAAACATTGTTTGATAAAATAAAATATTAATTTGTTGACCTGGATTGAGATCATCATACATGTTCAAAACTTGACATAGCATACATGTTCAAATAGATGCTTCAACTTGGCACGGCATAACACTTTTTTATTATATCAATTTGTTGAAATGTAGATATGAGTTGGGTTAGTTGACTAAGGCAGTATGTTCATTCGTTTGCATATGAGTCTAATCTTCTTTTCGTATATTAAAATAATTTAAAATAAAATAAAATAATAATTTGTTGAAATAACTGGTATGTTCGTTTATTTGCATCTGCGTCCGATCTCCTCTTCGTACGTTACAATAATCTAAAATATTAATTTGTTGTCCTGGACTAAGATCACCATACATGTTCAAAACTTGACATAGCATACATGTTCAAACATATGCTTCAACTTGGCATGGCATAGCACTTTTTTATTATATCAATTTGTTGAAATGTATACGAGTTAGG